ACCCACCATGTGGTTGCTGGGAATTGAACACAGAACCTTTGGAAGAGCAGCCAGTGCTCTTAACCTCTGAGCCATCTCTCCAGCCCCTTGATAATACTTTTTAATATTTATTCAGAAGTATTCTTTATTCAGAAATATGGTTTTTTCTGAGATTAGAGGAATGTTAATCTGTGTTTTCCATTGCTACAACAAACCATGTCCCCATAAATTTCTTGCTATGTTAGCCACATACGGCTTTTATTTTTCTCTTTGTCCTCCTGGCCCTACACACTCAATTTATCTTGTACTTTGTTTTACCTGAGATAAAGTTCCAATCTCTAGAAGCTGAACAAGATTTTGACAAGATTTTGGTGATAATATTGTTACATCTGCTCCTGTGTCTACTAAACCTTCATTTTCAATACCATTTATTTGTATTTTTAGCTTTGGGTTGCAAAATTACTTGTTTTGTCTCTCCTGAATTTTTTGTTATATCTACTGAAGCTCTTCCATCCCTGATTATATGCAGAACAGTATGGTTTTACTCTGTGAATGAGTTTTCTGATGCCGTCAGGGAATGAATGAACCAAGTTTGATATTGGGGCCACTGGGAGTCCCCTCAGGGTGTTTTCCGATGGCAAAGGGTTACCTTGTCTGTCCTTTGTTCATCTGTATTCATTAGTCCAAACCTTTGCCACACCTTCTGCATACTACCAAACACTGGCACCTTCTGTTTGGATTATCTCTAGAAAAAAACATTGTTTCTAAGAACACCTTGCCTACAATCCCTTTTCAAATGACCTTGGTTACCACAATAAAACATCTTTCATCTTGATTTTTTTGAAAGTTTCTAGAAATTACTTCAATCAAGACACTGTATGAGATCCAATATCAGCTGCATTTTTAATCCATCCATGAAGATCTTGCCTTTAAGGCCAAATCACCCTTTTACATTCTGAATTAGCATTTTCAAATAGCAAAGATTCAATTAATATTCATCTGACTTGTGGATCTGATATCATGGTATTTACAGTTGAATTCAATCTTTGTGAAAAATCAGTGAGTGCTTCTCTTAGGACTTGTGAATTTATTTATTTATTTATTTTGTTTTTCAAGACAGGGTTTCCCCATGTAGCTTTGGTGCCTGTCCTGGATCTTGCTCTGTAGACCAAGCTGGCCTCGAACTCACAGAGATCTGCCTGGCTCTGCCTCCTGAGTGCTGGGATCAAAGGCATACGCCACAACCACCCAGCTGGGACTTGTATAATTTTAATAAGTGATTCAGACCTCTTTCCTGATTCTTCAACCTTGTCCCAAGCATTCACAGCTGCTAAATGGCATAAGGCCAAGGTGTGATCATCAAATTCAAACTGTCTTTGCAACTCAGCTTATTGGTCCTCACCTAGAAACTTATCTTGGGAAATATCAATACTTCTAGCCCTATTTCATTGTTCTATGACCCTAGCTTCCTCTTTCCACCATGTTCTCCATTGAGAACTGAGGATCAGCTTCCAATATTGCTGTAGCTACATCTTTCCAGTCTTGGGGGATAATTCAATTCTGAGTTGCCCATGAATTTAACATCTGCTTCACACAGGGTGAATGAATATCAAATGAAATGAACGCTTCTTTAAATCTCCTCAAATCTAATATTTCTAGAGGATTACATTTACTTTCTTCATAACCTTGCAGGTGCCTATTGTCTGCTAGTTGTTCTTGTATAGTAACTGGATACACTAAGGTGGTTTTCTAATAACCTTGGGCCACCTCTTTTCAGTTTCATCATGCAGTGGTGCAGTTGGTTCTTCTCTAAATTCCTGTCTGTGCCTGATTTTTTTTTTTCATTAGTAGGTCCTTCTAAGGTTTGTATCAATCAAATTTTTCTCATTTTCATTAGTAAGTCTCTCTGTCTTTATGTATCTTATCAGTAGTAAGTCTTTCTAAAGCTTGTATCTTATCAATAGTCTTTTTAAGGCTTGTGTCTTATCAATAGTAAGGCTTGTATCTTATCAAAGTTTCATATCTGGCACAATTATGAAACCACTTCTGTGGTGATATATTGGGCACCCTAACATAACATGCCTGAAGCTCAGAGGACAGAACAAGCCACTAGATTAAACATAGAGGTCAGGCAGTGGTGGTACACACCTTTAATCCTAGCACTCAGGAGGCAGAGGTCAGGAGGCAGAGGTCCATCTGGATCTCTGTGAGTTCAAAGCCACCCAGGACTATATGAGATTGACTCAGTCTAGGAGAGAAACAGAGCGAGGCAGTGGTGGCACACACCTTTAATCCCAGTACTGGGAAGCACGCATGCTTTTAATCCTAATACTTGGGAGTCACACGTCTTTAATCCCAGCACTGGAGAAGTTGAGATAGGAAGTGATATGGTGGGCAGAGAAAGGTATATAAGGTTAGAGGAGACAGGAACTAGAAGCCTTTTCGACTGAGGAAGCCCTTTTGGTTAAAGGCCTTTTGGCTAGGCTTTTTGGCAGAAGTGGCCCTTTCAGCTGGAGGCCAATCAGCTGAGGCTCTTTCAGGTGAGGAATTGGTGAGGTAGAGGTGGTGGCTGTGGCTTGCTCTGCTTCTCTGATCTTTCAGCAGAATCTTGCATCGGGAATTTTTATTAAAAGACCATTTAGAATTCGTGTTACACACTTTTTAAAGGATAATAAAATATGAATTACCCAACCGACAGTAATTACCTCTGATATTATGTCAATCCCAGCTAGGTTGTTCATCCCCTCATTTATTCTTTCCATTTTCAAGCCATCCATAGTATCACTAAACAGAGTCCTAATTCCCTGCATTATGATAGTTCTCATTCTTAATGTGGGAAAGATTTTTTTTTAGTATCTTTTAACTCTCTCCTAAAGGACTTCCCAGGTATCTCATCAAATCTGCTGACTTCTCAGTTTGTCTGTGGCAAATCAGCAAGAGAGCGTCTCTCCACTCATCACAAACCAAAAAATGACCACCAATCTGCAAGTCAGTCCCTCCCTCCTCCTTCCTGTCAACTGGTCACTGGCCACGCCCCCTCACTCAAGGCAGACTTTAACACAATCTCAGGCTTTCACAGTATCATCAAATATCCCACATTAGACTACATATGGCACTGCCTCAAAAAATTAAAGTAAAAACATAAAATAGTATTAAGTTCAATAAAAATGGCAGGTATGTTTTCTTCTTTTTTCATTTTTATGTTCATTTTATGTTCATGTGGGGGGGTGTGTATGAAATGTGCAAGCTAAATTGTGTTGAGTGCAGGCAACTATCTGGAGATCAGAGGACAACCTTGAGTCTTAACCTTCATACATGTGCTGTAGCATAAGAAGCTCAGAGACAAGTCTGATCTCAGAGAGTTTGTGGTTTTCTAGTTTTCTAGTCTCATGATGTTGACGTGGAGTAGGTGAGATGGCTTAGCAGATAAAGGAACTTACAACCAAGGCTGAGTTCAATCCTGGTAGGAGAAGAGCACCAACTCCTAAGACTTGTTCCTCGACCTCCACACCTGAACCATGGCATGCACACTCACAAGAAAAGGCACATACAGGCAAACACAAAAATATGTTTAATATGTAATTTGTAATTTTTTTTTTAAAAAAAAGATAAGATTGTTTAAAAAAAAAAGCAGCACACACTATAGATGGCTGTATGCACTTATAAACACCACAATTCAAGGGCAAGTTTCCCTTTTAAAACAGAAGTCAACTCTAGTTAATTAATTCCATTGGTTTCTAGAGATTGCTGCTCCAGAAGAGACTCAGAAGTCAGAAAAGCATTGTGGTGACCAATCACAGACTGCCCAACATGGCCAGTTACACAGGGAATAATCAAGTGTGTGAAATGAACTGCAGGGACCCTAGTCGCTCTGGATTTCATGTCCATGCCTCCTCTTTCTCCTTTTCCTCTTCTGCAATGCTGAAGACCAAACCCAGACCTCTTGCAAAGCAACTAAGCACAACACACACATACACACACACACACACATTTTTTAAGAATGTGTAGCTCGGGTTGGGGGTTTAGCTCAGTAGAGTGCTTGCCTAGCAAGCGGAAGGCCCTGGGGTTCGATCCTCAGCTCCAAAAAAAAGAAAGGAAAAAAGAATGTGTAGCTCAATGGGCAGCGGTGGTACATGCCTTTAACCCCAGCGCTCGGAGGCAGAGGCATGAGGATCTCTGTGAGTTTGAGGCCAGCCTGTGTTACAGAGCAAGTTCTAGGACAGGCTCCAAAGCTACACAGAGAAACCCTGTCTCAAAAAAACAAACAAAAAAAGGAATGTGTAGCTCAGCAGTGGTAGTGAACTCTATTAACTCCAGCACTCAGGAGGCAGAGGCAGGTGGATCTTTGAGTCTGAGGCCAGCCTGGTCTAACAAACAAACAAAAAGACTATTTTCTAAAAGAATATATATGTCTGGCAAAATGGCAAACTCGGCGGCGGCCATCCTGCCTCTGCCTCCCGAGGGCTGGGGGACATGTGTACGCCACCACATCTGGTTTAAGTCAAGAATTCTTAAAGAACTTTTCTATCTCTTAATTTAAAAAACACTTACTTAATTCATGATAAAGTATTTTTTCTGGTGACAATAGTAAGTTTTCATACATCAGGGAAACCAATGCCCTCTTCTGGCCACTGCAGGCACCAGGCACATACATGATGCACAGATATACATGGAAACTGAAAAACACATGTAAAACAAAATATATAAAATTTATTTTTTAAAAAGAATGTATACTTGATAAAGTAAAAGAAAAGGTTTTTGTTTTGTTTTTTTAAAGATGCACACTATGTATACCCCCCACCACTTGGGAGGCAGAGGCAGGAAGATCTCTCAGTGAGTTCAAGGCCAACCTGGTCTACAAAGCAAGTTCCAGGACAACCTGGGTTACACAGGTAAACTCTGTCTCAAAAAATGCAAAAGGATATATTAACAATAATACTTCTCTTAGCTGTCTACAATTTAAAAAAGACTACAGAAAAAGCAAAACACAGAGTATTCAAGGAAAGATAATCTGAGACCAATGCAGACTGAATTAACTTTATTCTGTAAGGAATTTAGAGAGCTTCAGCAAATATTGATATTGCATTAAAAAACAAAATCTGTACATCATTCAAACTTTAAAAATCAGTCAGTGTTGACACTAAAAAAATGTACTAAGCAATATTTCATTTTAGAACAAAATACTATCAGTGTTTCTTCACAACTAGAGCCACAAACAGAAAATTTGAAATAATGTAACTTCTGAGTCTCAAAGGGATCCAGTGAGTTTCAGGGAGCACCATTGAACTAGTGTGACTGCCATATATTTTGTAAAGTAACAAACTACACCTGGGTGATAATAACTAAGGCGGGAAGAAGTACTGATGACCAGAATTCTAGTCCAAAGTTTTGTTTCATTATATGGTTACAGGTATTTTCCTCTACGTCCTTCAAGAGAAGTAACTGGATATGTGAAGGTCTAAAAACATTTCCCAATTCCATTTTACCTTTCCAGTACAAATACACTTAACAAACAGAATACTCATCTGTCAACATGGCTATTAACTATGTTAAAAATTTTGATTGTTCTTTAGATTTATTCACTAGGATAACAGATAACTATTAGCTGCCATGTGGGTACAGGATCTGAACCTGGGTCCTCTACAAGAGCACCAGGCGCTCTTACTTAGTGGATTACCTCTCTAGACTTAAAATTAATTCTTTTAACAACTCTAGTATACTCTGACTTTAAAACTTCTAAATCAAGAATATATACATATGTATTTGTTTGTTCTCTTTTTATAAGACAGGGTCTCACTGTGTAGTACTGGCTGGCCTGAAACTCACGATGTAGAACAGGTTGGTCTTGAACCCAGGGATCATCCTGCCCCTGCCTCCTGAAGGCTGGGATTACAAGTGTGGACCACCACACCTGGTATAAATCAAGAATGCTTAAAGAACTTTTCTATCTCTTAAATAAATATTTATTTAATAGCTGATAAAGCTTTTCTTTTCTGATGACAATATGAAGTTTTCATGTATTGGGAGTCTTGAAAGTAGTTTTAGGTAATCGAATCATACCATTCAGAATCAGACCCTAAAGGCTCTAAAGTATAATTCTTGAGTTTTTGTGCACTAAATTTTACTAAGAGAGTCTGTAGTCTGAAACTTAAATACCAGTATTTAATGTAATTTGTTTCTTTTACTACATTTGTGAGTGTGTGAGCATGTGCATATGTACATACGCATACATGATGTATATCAAAGAACAACTTACATTTCCTGCTAAGTGGATCACAGGATTGATCGAATTCAGGTGACCAAACTTGGTAGAAAGAAACTTACCCACTGAGTCATTTCATCTGCCTCAGTACCAGCACTTAACAAAAATGTTTTGTTTTTTTCTTGAGTGAGACCTTGGGCACGCTTAGGAAAGTGCATTACCACTGACCTATATCCTCACTGATCCATATCCTCAGCCTTGTTTGTTGCTGGGTTTTTGGGTTTTTTTTTTTGTTTTTTCAAGACAGGGTTTATTGTGTAGCCTCGGCTGTTCTGGAATTAGTTCCGTAAATGAGGCTGACCGCTGACCTTGAACTCCCAGAAATCTGCCTGCCTCTGCTTTCTGTAAGGCTTCATCATGTAAGCCCTGGATGGCCTCAAATTCATGATCTTTCTGCCCCTGCCTCTTGGGTGCTAGGATGACAGGCATTCATACCTGCCTTGTTTTAAGAGGGAAAAATTCACAACTTACTCAACCATCCTGAAGGGAAATTGGATTAAAAGTAATAAGGTGTTTGTATGTAATATAAATGTCTAAACACTTTAGAGGAAAAGGAAAAATATTTAGTATGTATTGGCCACAATCACTTTCTCTAAAAGTAAGCAAGAAACGAATTAGCACTTAGGCAATCAGAGGTTAAGAACAAACCTTTCTACTGCAGTGGAAAGAAGTGGGAAGCTGAGTGTGGTGATCCCAAGCACTACAAAGGCAGATGCAGGAGGGTCACAAGTTCAAGGCCAGCCTAAGCTATACAGGGACTCTCTTAAATGAGGAAGAAAAGGGAAAGAAATGCAAAAATCCCATAGTGCTGCTTATGTTTAATTTTACAAAACCAAAGGCAAACCAACTACTACTTATTTCTGAAGATAAAATTAAAAAAACTCTGAACCTATTTTGTAAACGTCTACTATAACATTCTTAGATCCAGTTCACATGTTCCATTCAGTCAAATAAGATTTGAGCTTAAAAGGTGGCAATAAAATATGACAAGGACTTCTCTCTTTTCTTAGGAGCTGATCACATCACAATTTCAGTAAAAGAGGAGAGGTCAGTGGCCCCTTAGTGACTGACATACTTTATTACTACATTCAACACAAAACCCCAATGTTTCCAGACACTTAAAGTATTGGTATCTAAGGTTTACATTAAGAACATCACACTCTGAGAACAGGTCTGATTGAAATGGAGTTTGGATCAGTGTGGGGCAGTACTTACTGACAGACAATTTCTGTAACAAACACTGGTTTCTTGTATTTAAAAAATAAGCAAGACAGAATTTTCAAAGTCTTACTTTACAATACATTGTAAACTTCACAGACCAGCACAGGTACAAAGTGGCTTCACGATGTTTATAATACTTTGTATCGTCCTTTGTTGGTTGGTTGATACGAATTTTGCTATGATAGAAAATAAAAGAGAGAAGGTTAGGAAAAGCGCACACACACACAAAGTGAATGTTTGAGATCATCTCCTGTTAGCAATGTGTAAAACCATCAGAGAGCCAAAATAAAAAGGCAGAGGTGGAGGCAGAGGAACGGCTCAATAATGAATTCATTCTCTCTGTTCATCCGTACCCCTTCCCTGATACCTCTGCAGTCTCGAAGCATGAAGTTCTTTTTCTATTACTCTTCAGTGAAACTATCGAGACCTTCGTACACTACTATATTATTAGTAGTTTTTGAGACAAGGTCACATTCAATAGCCAAGGCAAGCCTTGAATTTAGAAATCCTCTTCCCCAGCCTTCCAAGTGCTAGGATTACAGGAATGAGTCACCATACTTGGCCTGAAGTCCTTGACTTAAAGCTTGTTTATATTTTCTCTCCTGTTTTGTATACCCTGTTTTTAAAAAACTATTTCCCTGGGCTAGAAAGATGGCTCAGCAGTTAAGAGCACTGGCTGCTCTCCCAGAGGATCCCAGCATCCACATGGCAACTCACAACTGTCTGTACCTCCAGTTCCAGGGTATCCGATACCCTTACACAGGCATACATGGAGGCAAAACACCAATGCACATAAAATAAAAATAAATTGTTAACAAAAAGTGTTTTTAAAAAAAAAGTATATTCTTCCCTCTTAAGTTGGGCACACGCCCTTAATCCCAGCACTCAAGAGGGAGAGGCAGGTGGGTCTCTGTGAGTTTGAGGCCAGCCTGGTCTACAGAGTGAGTTCAGGACAGCCAGGATTATATAGAGAAACCCTGCTTCCAAAAATTAATAAATAAATAAAAAATAAAAACTCCCCCCACCCCCAAATTCTATGCATTATAAATGGAATTTCAGAACCCCTCCCCCTCATCTATCCTTAGATGATCCTACCAGACTTCCTGACTTCCTTTCAAAGCAGCGGCTATATGGAGGGTTTATAGCCCATACCTGGTATTTAAGGTCAGTGGTGTATCTGTGGCCCCCTTTACAAAGGTTATCTTTAGCAGGCTGTTCTTTTTCCAAAATTAACTCACTGCCTAAACTGTGAAATACTGACTACACTACAGGTGTGGCATTTCCAGATGCTCCAATGAGTGAAAACTGGTAAATGCTTTTGCAAAACAATGTGGTAACACCTACCAAAAAGATAAACTGTATAGAATTTATAAACAGAATTTCTATTCCAAAGTGTATATTCAATAAAGAAATGTATTAATGTATAGCAAAAAGTCAAGGGAGAAGTTTCATAGAAATGTTATTCACAAAAGCCAAAAGCAGAATATCAAGTTCAATATGTAAGTTAACTTATTTAATTTAATAATACATATTTAACTTAAGCAATTAAATAGCATACAGGCATAAAAAGGCATCCATTGTTGCTACCTGCAATATATAGATAGCCTCCTCAATATAATGCTGAGATATACAGAATAAACAGCATATAGTCCACCACACAGAGGTGAAAACACATAAAACTAATCTCCAAATTTATAGTCACAATATGTCTCTATCTGAGGGCGATGAACAGTGACATGGAAGCCAGAGGCCAGGCTTCTAGATGGAGAAATGGTCTGCATTTCTTCATTTAGATAGTGACTACAAAGAAGTGCCTACTCTAAAAATCCATCACGATACACTTATGTGAGGCTAGAGAAATGTCTCAGAGGTTAAGAGCACTGACTGCTCTTCCAGAGATCCTGAGTTCAATTCCCAGCAACCACATGGTGACTCAGAACCAACTATAATGAGATCTGGTGCTTTCTTCTGGCGTGCAGACATACATGCCGGCAGAATAGTGTATACATAATAAACAATCTTTAAAAAAGAAAAAAAAAGATATATTTCTGTGTTGGGACAGGGTCTCAAGTCACACCAGGCTGTCCCTGAAATTCAACTGCTTCCAAGTCCCAAACTGCTGGGCTAACAGGTGATCAGCTAGCAAGACAGGTGTTGATGATTTCTATGCCTGCTTGTATGAAATGCAATGAACAGTCACTACAACAAACAAGGCCTGAGGGTGTGCTTCACTCACCAGTCGGATCAGTTCTTCTTTTATGAGCCTGGTGATTTCTGCCTTCGCTTTCTGCACAGCCAGTTCGTTGGCACCTGAAGGTTGAGCAGAAAACATGGTTCACACCACTGAACTACACTGGCTGCTTCTGCACTGTAAGGAGGCCCAGGGGACAACGCCTCAAGTGACATTAGGGAGTGCGCTGCCTGCCAGGCTAGTGACCTAGAACAGCGGTCTACTTCCTAATGACTTACGGTGCTGTCAGTCCTGTGCTCACTTGGACAGCACATGCACTAAAATACGAAGGATGCAGAGAAGATGAGCATGGCCCCTGCACAAGGATGACACACAAAACCATCAAGTGTCCAGTTAAAAAAAAAAAAGAAAGAGGGCTGGAGAGATGGCTCAGAGGTTAAGAGTACTGGCTGTTCTTCCAGAGGTCCTGAGTTCAATTCCCAGCAACCACATGGTGGCTCACAATCATCCATAATGAGATCTGGTGCCCTCTTCTGGCCTGAAGGTGTATATGCAGACAGAACACTGTATACATAATAAATAAATAAATCTTTAAAAAAAAAAAAGAAAAATGTATGTCCTTAAAATTCATACTTTCTGTAGAAAATTTTCAAACTTAAATCCCACAAATAGATCTATATTCAGCTTTCTATCTATGTGGTTACTGAACTTCAAAGACCTCAAGCGACACATGGTCATGTATTTCTTAGAGATGCCCCTAATTTCAGTCTTTCTTACTATCAACTTCACACTGACCCGTGTTACATCTACTTCAATGATCTAACTCAAGCTTCACACAAAAGCAACAGTACGTACTCTCAATCGCCAAGTAAATCTTGCGCTCTCCTTCTTTGGGCTCTTTGCCAGGAGGGAAGTAGGTTCCTCTGATTGTGATGGCGGCTTCAGAGTACTCACTGATTCTCTGCAGGGCCTCCTTGGAGGTGACCTTCCACCGCGCCGTCTAAAACAAAGGTTTGCAGAATCAAATCACAACACAGAAATCTGAGTTGAGGGCAGGTGAGATGGCTGGGTAGATAAAGGCTCCCGATGCCCAGGCTAATGAACTGAGTTCAAAACCTGGAACCTGCCTGGTAGAAGGAGAAAACCAACTCCTGCAAGCTGTCCTCTGACTAACACGCCCGTCCTAAGACCTGTGCCCCACCCCATCCCAATATATAACATCACACAATTGGTCTAAAATTCTGGGTTAAAAAAGATTTTTCTCTGGACAATGGTGGTACACACCTTTAATCCCAGCACTAAGGAGGTAGAGGCAGGCTGATTTCCTGAGTTCAAGGCCAGCCTGGTCTACTGAGTTCTAGGACAGCCAGGATTACACAGAGAAACCCTGTCTCAAAAAAACAAAAAACAAAACAAAAACAAACAAACAAAAAAGAATAGATTATAGATTCAATGTCTATTACTATCTCCCTTATATAGGTAAAAGCCAAGTCATTAATGTTCACTTACAAGTAATCCTATTTCAGGGGTTGGAGGTACAGAGCAGCACTAAAGTACTTGCCTGGCATGTATCAAGTCCTAGGTTCTCTCTCTAGTACTGAAAAAATAAACCAACAGAGACAGGTGTGGTGGTGCACACCTGTCTTCCCAGCACCCGAGAGGTAAGAGGGTCTGGCATTAAGTTCATCCTTAGTTACACATAGAATTTGTACAGGCCAGGCTGTACTATGATGCCCTATCTTAAAATAAAATAAAATAAAATAAAATAAACCCAGACAGAACAACAAAGACCTAACAGTTTGTGTGTTTTAAGGAAGGGATTCTGTTCACAATATAAAAACTTTTCTGTTACTTGCCTGTGGGAAGTCATTAATTTCTAACTCTTCCTCATATCTCTTGAAAGATTCGCTCTGGCCACCCTCCTGTCTCTCCTCCTCCTGTTTCTCCAAAGGCACGTAATTGAGCTTGGCATTGATCTTTTCAGCAAGTTGTTCTGCGATGGTTTTTGCCGACACCGTGGGAGCCAGAATGGTTCCCCCTCTGAGGATGGCATTGGTGGCTTGCTGCATCACATCCTGCGGTTTAAGAAGACCTCCAGTTAAACCTCAGCTGCAGACAGAGATAGGGGCCAGGACATTCCCATAATGATTCTCCCCAAAGCCACTAAATCAGCTTAATAAACAGAAAGTATCTTTCTAATGCAATTCCTCACACATGTGACTACCAGTGTAAGTCCATAACTGACACTGTGACTTTCCTCTCCTCCTGACAAGGAACTGAGGGACAGTCAGTGGCCTACCATGTATTACTGCACCACAGACACGGATCATTAGCTAACTCGCAGTAAGAAGCACATAACACAGTTCTTCTAAAAGCAAATACTGGTGACTACTGTGCATTTCTACTTCATTAAAATGCCTGTGCTGCATCACTGAGCCCTCCTCCACCCACAGTGAACCATCCAAATACTCAATAAATTATGGTAAATGACTCATTCAAAATACTGTCAAAATTAGTTAACTCATCCTTTGGGCATGTCACAAGAATTCTGTTTTACTTAAAAGTCAACAGTGTCAGGCATGATGGCAAACTCCTGTAATCCCAACCCTCAGGAGGTACAGGAAAGGAAGTGATTGCCAGCTCTAGGTTGGCCAAAGAACACGAGACCCCGTGTTTAAAAACCAAAACCTCAGTTGGGTGGTGGTGGTGCACGCCTTTAATCCCAGCACTGCTTCTGTAGCCAATAAACCCAACCAATGAAACAGATTAGTAAAGAAAAGAATCACATTTTTTCTATTTTGCTAAGAAGAAAATACAAGCTGGAGATCTCTTACCCAGAATGCTTTGGGACAGAAGCACTTCGGGGCTTAAATTTTTAAATTTTAGGATATTTGCACAGACATTACCATCTGAATATATACAGCTGAACAGAAAAAAATCCAAAACATATTGAGCAGTGGTGGCGCATGTCTTTAATCCCAGAATTCAGGAGGCAGAGGCAGGTGGATCTCTGAGTTCAAGGTCTAGTCCACAGAGACAGCTCCTGGACAGCCAGGGCTACATATACAGAAAAACCCCCGTCTTGAAAAACGAACAGAAAAAAAAAAATTCAACATCAGGTCACCAAAGAAAAAAGTTTCAGAATGTGGAGTGTTCTCGATCAAGATGCTCATCTGCTCTATATGAGCTATCCATGACTCACGCCTAACAGGCTTTCTACAGAAGGTTTACAGAGAGAACTTCTGAAGGCAGACATCAAAGAGAGTCCTGTATTGAGCACGATTGTATTCTTGGAAACTTGTTTTCTAACAAAACTTGTTCACTGTGCTCCTGGAAAGGACCTACATTGAAAGTGGTGCTGAGGCACAGTGTCCAGGAGCACCCTTGCTGGAGCACAGGGTGGGGGAGCACTCTCGCTGAAGCACAGTGTCCGGGAGCACCCTCACTGAAGCACAGGGTGGGGGAGCACCCTCGCTGAAGCACAGTGTCCGGGAGCACCCTTGCTGAAGCACAGGGTGGGGAGCACCCTCACTGAAGCACAGGGTAGGGGAGCACCCTTGTCATCTTGGCACATGGGAAGTAGATTCAGAAGGACCAGGAGAGGGTCATCCTTGGCTACACAGAGGGTTCAAGGCCAGCCTAGACTACAAGAAACCCTGCCATTTTGAATTGTCACTCTCCAGAGTCTCATGTCACAGCAACAAGAACAATGACTAAGACTCGGAACAAATTACTTAATACCTGAGACTCGATGCCCAGGTTCTTCTGAGCATTGATCCGAAGAGCCAGCCTCTTGGCGATCTCTAGCTTCTCAGCGTTGCCTGCAGTTGGGGCAGGCACACTAGATGTGCCGGGTGCAGCCATGTCCTTTACTCTCTTCTTTGAATTAAACATGCTTTCAATTTGTTCATCAATCTAGACCAGGGGAAATCAGGGATTAGTTAGTACTGGGTTAGAAATATTAACTTAGTTGCATCTACACAAAAAAGAAATGTTTCCATAAAAGGCTAGAATTAGTTAAATTTACATAAATTCAAATACATGGATCAACAGAAAAAGAAACAGCTCTTCACGGACTTTTCTTTCAAAAATCTATTGTCTGTAATGGAAAAAAATTAAAAAGAAGAAAGAAAGAAAGAAATACACCATGCTACAAGATTTGTTTAATCAGACTTCTGAGAGGCACAGAAAATTCATCCCAATCTTGTCAATGAGGAAACACGGGCTCTCAAGCCAGAGCAGCACAAATGATGCACTGAACTATTCCAGGACTCAGGCACCAAGCCCAAATTATTTTATAATGAAGGAAGTTAGGGCTATAACTCAAGGCCAGTGATTCTCAGGAGGAATGATCAGTATGTTCCTGAGGCAGGACTCCCACCCCCACTCCTAAAACGAGGATTCTCCTCCTCCTCCTCCTCCTCCTCCTCCTCCTCCTCCTCCTCCTTCTTCTTCTGAGACAAGTTGTCACATGTAGCTCAGTCTGACCTCAAACTCATTGCATAACTGGTTTTCTTTCAGTTATTCATTTGACTTTACGTAGGTTTTGCCTGTTTGCATACATATGTACCATGTACATACAGAGGGGACTTTGGTTCCTCTGGTTGTGAGTCATCGTGTAGATGCTGGAGAAACTGAACCTGGGTCCTCCAGAAGAGCAACAAGTGCTTTAAACTACTGAGTCATCTCTTCAGCCCTGATCTCCACCCCTTGATTCTCAGGCCCCCTCTTCCAAGGGCTGGGACCACAGGTTTGCAGCAACACACTCAGTTCATGCACTGCTGGAGATGACAGCAAGCACCCTACTAACTGCGCCACACCCCAGCCCCTTCTTCTGAAGGAAGGAAAATGGGTTAGCATGGTGACATAGACTTCTAACCCCAGCACTCCAGAGACGGGATAGGAGGATCAACAGCTGGAATCAGGGTAGGCTACAGAACAATGCTGTGGGATGTTCTGTATGGCAAATGTGTTGCTAATTAGTCAATAAATAAAACATTGATTGGCCATTGGCTAGGCAGGATGTGTAGGCGGGACAAGGAGGAGAATAGAGCTGGGAAGTGGAAGGCTGAGTCAGAGAGACACTGCCAGCCGCCATGATGACAAACAGCATGTGAAGATGCCGGTAAGCCACGAGCCATGTGGCAAGGTATAGATTAATGGAAATGGATTAATTTAAGCTGTAAGAACAGTTAGCAAGAAGCCTGCCACGGCCATACAGTTTGTAACCAGTATAAGTCTCTGTGTTTACTTGGTTGGGTCTGAGCAGCTGTGGGACTGGCGGGTGAGAGAGATTTGTCCTGACTGTGGGCCAGGCAGCAAAACTCCAGCTACAGAACAACAACCTGCCAAACAAACCAACAAGAAGGAGAAGGGATGAGGAAGGACATGAAGGCTAACTTCCCTATGAGGAAGAGCAACAATGAAGCTTTCAGTTCTCCACAGTCAACCCTAGTGCTGTTAGCTACACTATCATTAAAAAAGAAGACATTAACTGTGTGTGGGTCTCCAAGGACAACACGTGGCCAGGCATATGGCAAGCACCTTATCCGAGCCATCTCACCAGCTCCCTTGTCTTTAAAGAGAGCTCAAAAACCCAACAGAAACAGAACAATGGCTGGTGAGACGGCTCTGGGGTAAAGGCAGTTGCCATGCAAGCCTGCTGACCTGAGTTCAAGTTCCTCGGACCTCCACATACATGCCATGGTACATGCACCACACACATAGACACACACAGAATTAGTTAATAGAACAGAATAGAAACAGAAAAAAGGACAAAACAAAAAGGATTGCTTTGCCCAAAATGACTTGTGCATCATGATGAGAGTCACACAACTTCCTCCAGAAGACCAGATCAGATGTCGTGGGTTTTTATCTTCTCGGTCTCAGAGGTAGGGAAAGCTTGCTGGACTTAAATTAGATTAATTTAGAAAGCATGTCTAATGAAATGGTCTTAATTTAGCTTCTTTTTTAAAAACACACATTTTCCCTTACAGGGTTATAGCTATCAAATAGTTTTTATGGTGAGGTTGTTTTAAATTAAACAGCACACATGTTTTTTAAAAATCTTAGTAAATAGGCCAGGCGGCGGCGGTGGCATATGTCTGCCGGGGCTACACAGAGAAACCTTGCCTCAAAAAAACAAACAAAAATCACATTTGTATTTGTTTTGTGTGCGTGTGTGTTGTGTGTGACAGATGGTGTTTAAAACACATTTAAAACTGAGTGACTTTCCCCTTGAAAGTAGGGTAGATTTAATGACTTGATCATCATCACTTTTTGTTTTTGTTCTTTTTGAGACAGGGTATCACTATGTAGCCCTGGCTAGCCTGCAGCTTACTATACAGACCACAGTACCATGAAACTCCTAAATGCTAAGCATGCTACCAGGCCCAGCTCTAACCTACTAACTTTTGAGTTCACTCACTACAAGGTAAACACATAACCAAACAGCAACTTTACTTCATTCTAAGCTAGTGTGGTGCACCAGAAAGAAATGGCCTACAACTGACAGGAGACCTGCCCTGTCTGTGTTCAGTGTGGTCCTGGACCAATGCTTTCTGATTTCAGGGTTCTCAACAGCATAGTCAGGCTCAGCACACTTACAAGACTGTTCTCAGCAGAGGTCATCTGTGGTTGTATGAGAAAGTTTGCTGTGCTGCCCAGGCTGACCTTATACTCTGGGGTCACTCCTACCACAGCCCTCTGAGTAGCTGAAGTAAAGTCATGCATGACCACATCTAGCTTGGGATAGTTTACTATGATGTGTAAAGTATGTTCTATGAACAAGTATGCTGGAAAACTCGAGGATTAAACGAAGTTAAACAGGTTTCATATACGACCCATGGCACCCACACAGAGAGACCTCGGATACTTACATCGACTGCTGCATCCTCATCATCTGAGTCCTGCAGGCCAAGAGCAGCTTTCTGTAACTTCTTCCTCTCGTTGGCTAAAGCCTGCTCTGTTTCATCGAACTTGAATCCCTTGCCAGAGAAACCACTACTCTTTTTGATAATTTTTCCTTCCTTTTAAGAAAAAAGTTAACAAAGTTAATTTTTAGAGTAAACACTGCTAAATATTTTCAAAGTAGAATATACCAACTTAACAAAAACATGACAAAGTTTAAACAAAAGATTCTATTTTCACTATTTTTCCTTCTAAATATGTAAGTGGTTGGATATGCACCCTTAATATGAGCACTCAGGAGGCAGAAAACAGATAAATCTGAAAATTTGAGGCCAGCTTGGTCTATATACCAAGTTCGAAGACAGCCAGACCCTGCCCAGAAAAAAACATAAAACAAAAAAGATGTAAGTGAACACAGTTACCAAAATATCCAGTGTTCTCCAGTCTTGTTAATGACTCATATAAGGAACTTTAAAGACTCACTGCTTTCTGCTGGTCTTTGAAGTCACTCCAGAGTTTTTCCAGGTCAGGAGGCACCGCCGTCCCTGACAATTCAAGAGCTTTAATTATGTCACCAGCATAGCGAGCTTGATCCTCTGTGATGAAAGTGTAGGCATAACCCTAATGAAAATGAGGAAGCAATATTAGACAAGATGACTCAAAATCAACATACAAAACCCAGTACCGTTGGAATAAACCAATAACAAACTTACAGACAAGAAAATGAGGAATACCTCCTTCATAGAAGCTTCAAAACAAAAAAAAAAAAAAGTCTAGAAATAAATCTGACAAGGAGGCCCAGACTTCTAGAGTGAGAACATTCAGATACTGAAGAAGTGTTCTGTCAGTAGGGTGCTTGCCCAGCACACCACACAAGTGGAGGCAGCTGCACAATGAGTTCTGGGCCCACCTAAGGTGCATGAGTTCCTGTCTCTAAAGAAACTGAAGAAGACATTACAAGATGGAAAGATCTGGAGTTACCGATAGGAAGGATTAATAGTATGACATTGCTGTATTACTGAGAAGTGATCCACAGATTCAAGGTAATATGCAGAAAATTTCAAAGACATTCATTTTTGAACTAGGAAAAACAATCCTAAAATTCACTTAGAAGCACAGAAGACAGCAAGTAGCCGAAGTAATGCTAAGAAGAAAGAACAATTATTCATATTTCATAATTCTGTCTTTAGTTCCATGTAGATTTTTTACAGCTCTTTGAAACATGAGCCGGTTAAGGCTGTGGTTTATCTCTGGACCTTCTATTCTGTCTTGTCCACATGTCTGTCCTTGTGTCAGTACTATGCTGCTGCTCATCACTATGATGAACTCATCACTATGGCTCTCTTGCATAATCTGAGGTCAGGAATTATGGAGAAGCTGAAGGGAGAGAGAAAATAAAAGATAACACTATGAAACAAGACATGGGCTGGGGAGGCTGCCTTGAGTAGGAGGACTTACCCTTTTGGAGGAGGGGATGGGGGAGAAGTGGAGGGGGGCTGGAGCAGGGGGAGGAGGGATGAGAGGGGATCTATGGTTGATATGTAAAAGGAATAAAAAAATTTAAAAAAAAAAGAACAAAAAGCAGCAGGCAGACACCACCATTAAACTGAGCCCTTGCAAACAGCGAGCAGACACTGGGGAGGCTGAGGCAGTTGTCTGCAGCTCCCAACTCAGAGTCCTCCGGCCACTCCATGGATGAACGTCCGTCTGCATTCCCTCCACTCCAGGCTCTTTTCTTTAAGGACTAAGCAGCAGTAACCTCTGTTGGAGGAGATACCCTTTAGATATTGTTCTACTCTCTGCTGTCTCACTGTTCTCGTCCCTCATGTCAGCTATAGGCCAGTCCATTCCTGGACAGGAGGCTTTGGGGGACTCTTTGAGACAAATAAACCTGGTATGGGAGGTAGGACATAACTCTGTTTCTGGAGATAGTTTCTGAGAGCACCACACATAACAAATTAGCAATCTAATGTCATTTTATTCTTTACTTTTTATGTGTATATGCATGTTGAGAGAGGACATGCACATATGTGAATCAAGAGGATACCCTTGGGCATCTATCCTCAGGTGCTGCCCACCCTATTTAAGACAGCTTCCCAGGCTGGACAGATGGCTCAGAGGTTATGAACTGGCAGCTCTTCCAGGGTTCTGAGTTCAATTCCCAGCAACCACATGGTGGCTCACAACCACCTGTAATGAGATCTGGTGCCCTCTTCTGACCTGCAGGAATGCATGCAGGCAGAATACTGTATACATAAATCTAAAAAAAAAAAAAAGACAAGGTTGCCAACTAGCCTGGAGTTTGTCAGGTAAGCTTGGCTGGCTGGCTGGCCATCAAATCACAGGAATCTACTTGTGTGTGTGTCTCAGTCTCCTCAGCTTGGGATTGCAAGTGCATGCTTGCACACATCAGCTTTTTACATGGGTTCTGGTAACTGAACTCAGGTCCACACTGACTGAGTCATCTCTCCAGCTCAACATCCTTAGCAGGGAAGGATGAGTTAAAACTACTTTGATGTTCCATTTCACCCCAGTTAAAACAGCTAACATTAAGAAAACAAATGACAGAAAATACTATACTATTCACAATTGCTAAGTAATAGAACCAGGATATGCAGCAACAGGTGAGTAGATAAAGAAAATGGGGTACATGCACACAGCAGAATTTTACACAGGCCTAAAGAAAAATTAAATCATGACATTTATAGAAAATGGTACAAGAAATCATTAGGTTAAATGAAATAAGAATCGACCTGTCTCAAAAAAAACACGAAAAAACAAATAAACGGATGGATGGAAGGAAGGAAAGAAAGAAAGAAGGAAAGATCATATGCTACATGTGGATCCTAGATTTTAATTTAAAGAGTGCACACACGTAGGGTGCACGTAGGTCATAAAATCAGAAAGAAAAGAAGGGGAAGAACAAAGAGTTTATAATAGAGTATAGGTGAGAGGAGAGCAGAAGGGGGCTGCGGAAGGAAGACCACAGGGTGGGAATAAGCACTGGGAGAGAATGAACAATAAAAACAAATATTAAACCATTATCAAGAAACCCATTATTCTGTATGCTAATTTAAAAAAAAAAAAGACTGCTTTAAAAAGATAATAGTTAAGAGCTTGTTGCTCTTGCAGGTTGGATTCCAATCACCCACGTGGTGGCTCACATCCATCTGTAACTCCAGTTCTAGAGAATCCAAAGTCCTCTTCTGATTTCTGCAGGCACCAAGTGCACATGTGGCGGGCGGGCGGGTGGGCGGGCGCACATACGTATACATACACATACACACACACACACACACACACACACACACACACACACACACACACGCTGTGGGATATTTATTTGTACTCTGTTTAAAGGTATATTGCTATGATTGGCGTAAAAAGCTAAATGGCAGATAGGTAGGCAGGAGGTATAGGCGGAACTTCCGGGCAGAGAGAGGAAGTAGGAGGAGGAATCTAGGCTATTCCTATGCATGGAAGAAGCCAGGAGACATGGAGAGGAAACAGAAGGTACAGATGGAAGAGAGCTAACACTACATGACAGGATGGAGATGAATAGAAAGGGGTTAATTTAAGTTTTAAAAACTAGTTAGAAAGAAGATTAAGGGAGAAAGAAAGAAAGAGAGAGAGAGAGAGAGAGAGAGAGAGAGAGAGAAAAGAAAGAAAGAAAGAAAGAGAAAGAAAAGAAGCCTAAGCTGCAGGCCAAGCTTTCATAATTATTAATAAGTCTCTGTGTCATTATTTGCAGGCTGGCAGCTGACGAGAAACTATGTCTACACATACATAAAAGTAAAACATTCATAAACATAAAAAATAAACGTAAAAAATGTTTGCATATGAGTGTTTGCCTGCATCTATGTGTGTGTACCACATACATATATGCCCTGCCTGTGGAGGCCAGAAGAGGGCATTAATTCCTTGGAACTGGAGTTAACAAGACAGCTGTGAGCACCAAGGGTCCTCCGTAAGCAGTCAGTGCTTTGAACCACTGAACCATCACTGCACCATCTCTCCAGCCCCTTTTATTTTTTGTTTTTTAAAGACAGTATCACTCTGTATCCAATATTAGCCTTCAACTAATGGCAAGTCTCCTGCCTCAACTTTCCAACTGCTGGGATTGCATGCATGAATTACAATGCTCAGCTTTAACATCTTAGTTTTAGGATGTTTATATACAAAGCTTTCCATTTTGGGTTTGTTTTCTGAGTCAGAGTCTAGTTCTATAGATCAAGGTGGCCTTGATGCTGCCTCTGCTTCCCAGTGCTGGTATCAGAGAAATGCACCTTCACGCTCTGCTCATGTTTTTAAGATCCAAAGTGTGTGCTTGTATTTGATTGTGTATACAAATGTTCTTTACATAATTATGTACTTCTGAAACTATTTTGCAAAAATGAAATCAGTTGTATAATCTTCCTGGAAGTCTGGAAAGTGGAGCGCTCAGATGCCCCAGCAACTCTTCAGTCCAGGCAAGAGGAAGACGGGCAGGGAAGAGAGCAAACCATCAGGTTATCATTTTCTCAGACATTTTGACCTAATTTCAGGAATATCTAAAGTCACACCTGCTGTCCAGGCTCTGCCGCTATGCTTCCCATGAGCTAAAATTCCTGTTTTATACGATTATAAACACACATGCGCAAAGAGAAAGAGGGGGTGATGAGAGAGTATTTGTGGCCAACAAGACATATTTGCTACTCCTTAACCTTTAAAAAAATTATTAATTTATTTATTTCATGTGTATGTGTATTTGAGGTATGCATTCAGGAACCCATGGAGGACAGAGGGCCCAAGGTCCCCTGGAAGTGGGTTATACAGGTAGTTGTGAGCCACCATGTAGGTGCTGGAAACCCAATCTGGGCTTTCCATAAGAGGAACAAGTGAGCCAGGCAGTGGTGGCGCACGCCTTTAATCCTAGAACTCGGGAGGCAGAGCCAGGCGGATCTCCGTGAGTTTGAGGCCAGCCTGGTTTACAGAGCGAGATCCAGGACAGGCACCAAAACTAAACTACAGGCCGGGCGGTGGTGGCGCACGCCTTTAATCCCAGCACTCGGGAGGCAGAGCCAGGCGGATCTCTGTGAGTTCGAGGCCAGCCTGGTCTCCAAAGCGAGTACCAGGAAAGGCGCAAAGCTACACAGAGAAACCCTGTCTCGAAAAACCAAAAAAAAAAAAAAAAAAAACTAAACTACACAGAGAAACCCTGTCTTGAAAATAAAAAAAAAAAGAAATTAAAAAAAAGAAAAAGGGAGCAAGTGTTCTTAACCACTGAGCCATCTCTCCAGTCCCACTCTTTAATCTTTTAAAGGACAAGTGTCCAGATGCCTCAGAATGCCTCAGTTAAGGAGGCACTACTGCGACAAGGCCTAAGATACAGGTGGTATGTTCCTCAATGGTTCTCCACTACAAAATGAACTCCTATCTATTTCACTGGGCTCCTGAGGACGAAATGATAGCTGTAAAGAACTTAGAACACTGCCCAGTATACGGTCAGTTTGGCAGGAACATAAGCAGTTGTTGGTACCACTGTTATACCATGATACAACATCTAAGGCTGACAAAAAACAATATGTAACTATTAATATTTCTAACAACAAAATACCCCATGCTTTCAGAAAGAATTATTGGGGGCAAGGGAGACTGAGAAAAGGCTCAGTGGTTAAGAACACTGTCTGCTCTTCCAGAAGACCTGGTTCAATGTCCAGCACCAACATGGCAGCTCACAATTGTCTTAACTACAGTTCCAGGGATTACAACACCCCTTTCTAGCCTCCATAGGCAACGCATGCATATGGTGCACAGACATACATGCAGGGAAAACATCCATACACATAAAAATTACTTCTTTTTTAAAAGGAATGACTGGCTGGGCATACAGCTCAATGGTGAGGCACTTGTTATATCCCCAGCACTGTAAAATAGAAAAAAGAAAAAAAAGAAATTGCTTTTGTTGTGTGTGGTGGCGCATATACAGTTTGTGAATAGTGATGACAAAGCAAGGTATCACCCTCAAATAAAACAACAAAGAGGCCTTAGACTGGTGGTTCTCAATCTAAGGGTCGTGACCCCTTTGTAAGAGTCGCTTATCAGATATTTACATTATGATTCATAACAGCAACAAAATTATAGTTATGAAGTAGCAATAGAATGATTTTATGATTAGAGTGTCACCACAATGTGAGGAACTGTATTAAAGGGTCACAGCCTTAGGAAGGTTAGAGCCATGGCTTTAGACTATATATGTCAAGACAAAAAACAACCAACAAAAGCAGTGAAACATCCTGAATTACGTACAAGTGTGTCTATGTGCAGACAATGTTAGGTGAGAGCAAAGTAAACCTGAGGGACACAAACTGTTACTACTACCTGTGAGAAACCACCAAGGTACCTGATAGTCTTAATTTTGTTTTGGTTTGGTTTTTTCAAGACAAGATTTCTCTGTGTAGCCCTGGCTGTCCTGGAACTCACTCTGTAGACCAGGCTGGCCTCAAACTCACACAGATCCACCTGTCTCTGTCTCCCAAGTGCTGGGATTAAAGATGTGTGCCACCACTGCCCAGCTTAATTTTGGTTTTTAAGTGTGTATGGGTGTTTTGCCTGTATGTCTGTGCACCACATATATACCTGGTGCCCACCAAGGCCAGAAGAGGGTATCGGGATCCCTGAGAACTGTAGTTACAAATGGGTGTGAATCACCATGTGAATACTGTAAACAGACACAGGTGTTGTAAAATAATCCTTCTGTACACTGTGTGAATATATGTCGCTATGATTGGTTTAATAAACAAGCTCACTGGCCAATAGCTCAACAAGATAGTTAGGCAGGAAAGCCAAACTGAGAAGATGGAAGGAAGGACAGAGTGAGAGGACACGCCGGCTAGACAGAGAATGAGTCTAACACACAAAAGAGGATCAAGCCTCAGGGCATAGATAAAAAAAAAGCGTTAAGTTATAAGAGCTCATTAGTAAACAAGCCTGAGCTATTGGCCAAGCATTTATAATTTATATTAAGTCTCTGAGTCAGTTATTTAGGAAGCGGCTGCTGGTTATATGGGAGCAGGTGGTTGGGACAAGCTAACTCCACCTACATACAGATTCTCTGCAAAAAAGAGCCAGTGTTTTTAACCAAAGCACCATCTCTCCTGCCCCATAACCAGTAATTTTAACAATATATAGACATGGCCAGGCAGTGGTCGCACACACCTTTAATCCCAGCACTTGGAAGGCAGAGCCAGGCAGATCTCTGTGAGTTTGAGGCCAACCTGGTCTACAGAGCGAGATCCAGGACGGGCACCAAAACTACACAGAGAAACCCTGCCTAGAAAAAAAAAAAAACCTCAACATAGAGACATACACATATGTGATTAAAAACATCCAATTATGTTCTGCTACCTAAAGATTTTCAAAATATCGTCATAACCTCTGCTATCGACTCCGGAAACCAAACACCTGTGCTTTAATAAAGACATGACTGTGAAGACTTACTTTGTTACCTGCCCTTCCAGTCCGTCCAGCTCTGTGCACATAGTCCTCATAATGGTTGGGGCAGCTGTAATTTACTACAAGAATTAGATGTTTCACATCTAGACCTCGAGCAGCAACAGACGTGGCCACGAGGAGTTTGCAGGTTCCATTTTTAAAGTCATTTATGATGCTGTCCCTGTCATATTGATCAATACCTGCAATTAAGAGATAAACAGATAAATTAAGAGATAAACAAAAAAACTTGTTGAAATTTTCCATTTCCACTAAGAAAGTTCTAAATGCAGAAATAAAAAACAGATTTGGGGCTGGAGAGATGGCTCAGAGGTCCTGAGTTCAATTCCCAGCAACCACATGGTAGCTTACAACTATCTGTAATGAGATCTGTGCATACATGCAGACAGAACACTGTATACATAATAAATAAATAAATCTTAAAAAAAGAAAGAGATCAATTTGATGATTTTTCAAAAACCTTAAGGTACAAGTTCTATGACTCTACCAACTCCATCACTCAAAGGAGCTGAAAGCTGTGAAGATATCCACATGTCGTATTCACAGCATACACAACAGTCAACTACAGAATCACCCCAGGTCTCTACCAACAAGTCAATCAAGGGGAGAGAGTAAATATACACAAAAGGGTATATTATCCAGCATTTAGAAGAAAATCTAATACATGTTAAAATATGAATCATAAAATCATCATGACTGAGTGAACCAGACCAAACACAAAGGGATATAAAATGTATTATTTCACAATATATAGTACAAAGAATAAGAAATTCATAAAGACGTAAGATAGCATAGAAGTATATTAGTTATAATGGACAGATGGAAGGGAGATATAGAGAATAATTGCTTAACAGGAACAGTTTCCATCTGGGATCATGAAAAAGTTCTAGGCACAAGGAGGCAGGGAGAAGCTTCAGTGGGAAACAGTGCTTGCCCAAGTTCAAGACTTTAATGCCCATGTAAAGAGTATACCTATAACCCTGGTGCTGGATCATGGAGAAAGGTGGATTCAGACAGCCCAATGGCCAGAAAACCTAGCTGGTACAGTGAGAGGCACTATCTCAAGGCAATCACGTGAAGAGCCATAGATAGCAGCCTGCACTATATAAAGGTGAAATTTTGTCAAACACCAGTAAGATTTCTTCTATCTACATTACAGACAACAAAGCAAATATTACTCAGAGCACAAGTCAGTTCTTGGCAAGCTAAATACTTAAAAACATACCCATGGGTAAATTAAGCACATTACCTCCGTGAAGAGACATGCAAGGGTAAGATGCTCTCATTAAGTCCTTCAGAAGACCATCAGCATGTTCTTGCTTATCCACAAATATAATGACAGATCCTGACTCCTGATAATGGCCTAAAAGCTCAAGTAATTTCAAGAATTTCTTTTCTTCTTCAATCACAATCTGAAAACACCACATTGTAGCAAGTTAATGTAAAAAACACAAATGTGTCCTAAAACAAAAATGTTTGTTTAATCTGTAGTGAATGAATAGAAAATAATAAAATGGCTAGGCAAATGTGGATTTTTAACTGATGGACTTGTAACCATGGTGACTGGTCAGCTCTCTCTGCCCTCAACCTCAAATCCTATTAATCAAAGACAAAGATGTACATTTCTGTGAGCCCTCAATTCTGGTAGAAGAACTAAAAAGAGATTTGTTAAGTCAGTTCCGTGGACCTGGCAACAGACTGAAGGTTATAACTGATGCCTAATATTTAACTTCAGAAGTTATCTACCTATCTCACAACTATGATACAAAAAGGATTGCACACACACTGCCTAAACACCAGGAAAACTGACAATTTCCTGAAAACGGTACCTACCACTTGTTGTTCCACATCTGAGCAAACCACACTCCTGCCTCCAACCTGAACTTCAATGGGCTTGCTCAGGATCCTTCGGGCCAAAGCCTCCATAGCTCTAGGGAAAGTAGCTGAAAACATAACTGTCTGTCGGTCAGGACGAACATTATCCACAATGCGCATAACCTGAGAAAACAATATATGCATACGTAAATACAGTGAGTCTCCAAAAACTTACAGTGTTTAAATCAGGCAGAAGGAACTCTGGAGAGCTATTTCAGTTACTTTAATTCATTATCTTAAAAAATCTGAACTTATTGTATACCTGAATTTGCAGCTCTCAGTTTCACTTTGTCAAGAAAGGGCAGGCCAAGCTGGGCGGTGGTGGCACGCGCCTTTAATCCCAGCACTCGGGAGGCAGAGCCAGGCGGATCTCTGTGAGTTCGAGGCCAGCCTGGTCTACAGAGTGAGATCCAGGACAGGCTCCAAAGCTACACGGAGAAACCCTGTCTTGGGGGGGAGGAGGGAGGGAGGCAGGCTGGCTGAGCTGGGGCGGCAAGTGTAAAGTACGTGCTGAGATAAACATGAGGACCTGATTCCGGAGCCTAGCACCCAGATAGAAAGCATGCACTTGTAAACCCAGCCCGGGGCAGGAAGAGAAAGGCAGGTCTCTAAAGCTTACTGGCCAGCCAGTACAGCCTAATCAGCAACCCTGGGTCCCCACAACAGGCCTTGCATCAAACAAGATGTACAGCTCCTGAAGAATAGCCAATCACATCTTCTAATTTCCAGACATGTCTGCACACACATACATGTGTACTACAACCACACGGGAGGGAAGGCAGGAAGGAAATGAGGAGAGAGGGAGGAAGCAAGGATATGTCACTCAAATTACAATAATCTCTCAGAAAGACAGCAGGATACTTAAAAATGACTGTATAACTGACAAGTATATTTATGGTCTCATCCTAGCACACCTTTAATCCCAGCACTCTGGAGGCAGAGGCAGGCAGATCTCTTGTGAGCTTGAAGCCAGCCTGGTCTACCTAGTGGAAAAAAGAAAAGAAAGGAAAAATGGGGCTGGCAAGATGACTTAGCCAATAAAGGCACTTGCCACCAAGTCAGACAATCTGAACCCGATTCCCAGGACCCACATAGTAGGAGAGAAGAACCAACTCCACAAGTTGTCCTCTAACATCCATATACACCAACCATGACACTCGCATGCTCCCACGTACACACACTATACAGCAAATAAGTAAAAATCAATGTAATTTAAAAAGAAAGTAAAATGACAGCCATGGCTACACAGAGAAACCCTGTCTTGAAAACATCAAAAAGAAAAAGAAAAACATAGTGAACTTCAGAACCTTCATCTAATTTCACATGATCAAAGCCCAGCTAGACAGGGCTAGAGAGGACAAGCACGTCCTTTAAGGAGGCTGAATCCTCAAACCATCCCTTTCCTGACACTCTCCTCTCTTCCCTCAAGTCTTTGCCCCTTTGCCTTCCACTCCTCAGGTTTGATAATGCCTGCTGCCCTCAAGTCTGCTGATTCATTCTAAATGCTCAAATCTCTTCCAGCACTGAGAAATATGTCTGTTAATAAATACAATTTTCTTCTGTAAAACTAAAAGTAAGTTTTATGAAAGACGCAAACTAAGCAATCAGCCATCTATGAGCTTAAAGCTTCATTTTATCCTCCACAGCAAAAACTCATTTTATGTGTATGTGAGTGAAAGAGAGAAAGTGTGTCTGTGAGTATGAGAGAAAATGTGTCTGTGTGAATGTATGTGTGTGTGTGTGTGTGTGTATGTGTGTGTGTGTGTAAGAGAGAGAGAATGCACAAGTGTTCACGTCCGAGAGAATACATGCGTGGAGTCAGAGGACAATCTCGACTGTCACCCCCAGCACTGCTCGCCTTTCTCCTTCCCCTTGAGACAGGGTCTCTCACTAGTTTAGAACTCACCAAGTAGGCACTGTGGCTTGCCAGTGAGCCCCAGGGATCGATTCTGTCTCCACTGCCGAGTATCGGGGTTCAAAGTGCATCACCCGACCTGACTTCATGTTATGTGTGCATTCTGGGAACTAAGCTCAGGTTCTTACAAGCATTTTACTGACCACACTATCTCCCCATCCCGAAAAGCTCATTCTTTACCCTGGAAGTTTTAAGTTTAAGGCAATTTGTGTAAATACATGGAAAAGGAGAGTCCACACCTAACATCTATGTCATTAAACAACTTAGTTAAGTGAAAGATGTACGTTCAGTGATGTGCTTTAATTCTCAATTTTCATTATCTTCTTAGTATAGACTTCTGCCTACAAGCACACTATTGCCTTCTTACTCCTATCCAAACAGAGCCATCATAGAGGCCAAAATATAAACTCTCCCTTCCTCAAGTTGTATTAGTCACAGTAACTGATCAATATCCAAATAGTACCCATGGCACTGAAGACCTATTTACTGTGTGTTTTTAACCAATAAAGTTCACAAAAAGCATCACTCCCTCTAATTTTCCTCCCAAACGGGTTTTAGTAATAATTTTTTTTTGTTTTGTTTTGTTTTTGTTTTTTCGAGACAGGGTTTCTCTGTGTAGCTTTGCGCCTTTCCTGGAACTCGCTTTGGAGACCAGGCTGGCCTCGAACTCACAGAGATCCGCCTGGCTCTGCCTCCCGAGTGCTGGGATTAAAGGCGTGCGCCACCACCGCCCGGCTGGTAATAATTTTTAAAACAGGAAAAGAAAAAATAACATTGGCTCAGTAGATTAAGGAACTTGTCAACAATCCTGACTGCCTGAGTTCAATTCCTGGGTTCCACATCATGGAAGGAAAGAACTGACCCCCAAAGTTGTCACCTGACTTTCACAACTGTGCTGTGGGACACCCCTTCTCCATACACACATACACCCATTTGCAAAATAAATATATAAATATTGGGGGGAGAAAACACTACTCAATTCTGCCCCTCACTGACAAAGCAACCAGTTTTACCTTGAAACAAAGCTTGTTCAGCCCTTCCTGTTAAATTCAGTTCAGTTTCCTTTTGGCTTCCCATTTGGTTCCAGTTCTAGTCAACAAGACCATAAGACTATGACAGTAAGTGCTCTGCTCCAAGTTAACTAGTCTGCATTTCTTTAACTGTTTGTCAGATGGTTTAAGTATTCCATAGTCCTGTTTTTTTTAGGACCACCTACTCATATCTCATTTAGAATTCAGTTTCTAGCCAGGTGTTGATGGCACACACCTTTAATGGGGGCGGGGGGCGGGGGGGGGGGGGGGGGGGGGGAGGCAGGCAAATCTCTGTGAGTTCGAGGCCAGCGCGTTTCAGGATAACCAAGGCTACACAGTGAAACCCTGTCTCAAAAAACCAAAAAAATAGGGCTGGAGAGATGGCTCAGTGGTTAAGGGCACTGGCTATTCTTTCAGAGGTCCTGAGTTCAATTCCCAGCAACCAACTCACAACCATCTACAATGAGATCTGGTGCCCTCTCCTGGCCTGCAGGCATACACGCAAGCAGAACACTGTATACATAATAAGTAAATCTTAAAATAATAACAAAATTAATAATGATAATAATAATTCAGTTTCTAAATCTAAATACAATGGTACTATATGGCAGGCAATGTCTCTTTGGAGGATATGAACTAGAGGAAAAAGCTAACCACTATGCTTCTGCTATACCTTCCCATAGCCACTCCATCTCTTTGCTGAGACAGGATTTCACCATGCACCCTAGAAGCATATGCATCCTGAGAGCACACTCACAACTTACACTGCTTTGCCTGGCTCTGCTTTTGAGACAGGGTCTCTACACAGCCCTGGCTGACTTGGAATTCACTAGGCAGATCCTCCTGCCTCTGCCTCCCAAGTACTGGGATTATAGGCATGCACCACCATGATCAGCCAAAATACCAAGAGATTCTAGTACTCTTATCATCAGTACTCTAAATCCAGCCTGCCCAATGACCTTTGAGATTGTTGAGGAATGTCAGAACAAAAACCACGCAAGTTTTAAGAATTTAATCTGAAACATAAATATTTACTTCAATTCCCCATGTTGCCAACACACTGTTAATACCAGGCAACACAGAGTATGAATTTCAAGACCATACAAACATTTCATTCTTACAACAATTACAAAATCCTCTTTATATTCCAAAAACTTAAGAACCTTAATAAGGGGCTGGAGAGATGGCTCTTAGAGAGGACCCAAGTCCAGTTCCAGGTACCTACTCAGCACCCACACGGAACAGCTCACAATCACTTATTTCCAGCTCCAGGATGATCTGATACTTCTAGCTTCTGCAGGCACCTGCATTCATGCGCACAAACCACATGGACACACACCATACACACAATTAAAAGTAGAATAAACCTTTAAAATTACAAAGAAATTCAATTATTACCTGTGGTTCGAAACCCATGTCAAACATTCTGTCTGCTTCATCTAAAACTACATAAGTCACTCTTCGAAGGTTTGTGACCCGACCTAAAGAGAGAGGAAAAGAAAGACAAAAAGAAAACTAACTATCAGTCACAATTCATGATGACAACCAAGAACTTTTAAAAAACCATAAAGGGAACTAAAATGCCTGACTTAAGCAGAGGGGTAGGTTAGGTTTCTTTAAACAGTGAAAAGAAACTTTGGTCGAAAAGTCTTAATCTAGTGGCAAGTACTTTCTGACAGTGGGTATATGAGGCCCTTTATTTTGTCAAACTCGTCTCTTGCATACCATCATAGGGCCTGAAGAACCTGTAAAATTCAGAAAACAGCCCTCTCCAAAACACATCATAAAACTAAGACTGAGATGAAGCATCGAGCCACATCAGCCATTATCTGACAGCATCACCTAGAAAAAAACATATTAGAGATTACAGCGCATGTGTGGAAAGCAGTTCCAGTGCTAACTACCTCAGAGGCAGAAAACCCCTCACTTTACAGCTACTACCATAGAGTTAGAAGCAAATGCCTTAGACGGGCACGGTAAACCGCTAATAAACTGCTCAAAATCACTGGGTAACAGTATATTACACAAACTTTAAATAATAAATGCATTACATATAAATATACTTTTCTACACAAAGATACACACTAAATTATTAATTGCTGCCACTGATTTAAAGAAATAGCCCTGGCTTCTTAACCAGTTAAAAACTCAAAATACAGAAAATCCTTTCTCAAAGATCAGTAAACATTGCTATCAACTGCAGAGCCAACCACCTGGCAAAAATATGTATAGTTATTAAAAGATAATGAAAAAGACAAATAAAGGAAAAAGGTAAAATTAATCAAGATGGTTTCCAGGATGTTTAATTAACACAACAGTGAGAAAAAACAAGGAGTCCCAGAGTCAGCACTCATCCCAAACCTTCACCGGCTACGCAAGCGCAAGGCCTCAGACACCCTGGCGGATAGTCAGGTTTCCCCAAGTTCCAGGCGGAACCCTAGGACAAACATGCACTTCTTGGATTCTAACTCAGAATGTAACTCAGTTACATACAGTCTGACTGCTGTGATGGAAATCTCTAAAAAGCCCTTTCTTCAAAAACTAAACAGAGTGTTCACCCTAACATCTCCAGCCGCCAAGTCTCGCAAGGTTGGAAACAGCATTAAGTCACCTACCTTTGACGGTTAACGTCTCAGAAGGCCAGGTCTATAAATCCTCAAGGGCCTTTCTCCACAGAAGTTAAATAATGTCAACAGTTTAGTATCAGTTTTGATAGGGAATATTTTAACAAAGCATAACATCTGAGCTAAAAGCATGCAGTATTTACAAAAGACACATTTCTTGAAGCTGCAATAACTTAATTTGTCTATTATTATAAAATACTAGCTCCTGTTGAGAATTTTATAATAAAAGGACTATGATGCCACCTTTTTAAAAGCAAAGATAAGCACCCCCCCCAAAAAAAAAGTCAAGTTAAATGCTAATAAGGTCCTATGGAGTTAGTTGTGAAAAGAAATTGAACTGCCAAAAACGTATTAATACTTTCAACAATTACAATTGTTACAATTCACATTTTAAGATATTACAGCTTTAAGAAGAAACATAGAAACCCTTTGTTGGTTTCTCATGGCTGCTTTAATAACAATGTGTCAAGTTCAAAAAGGAAAGAAAACAATAAATACGCGTGTGACTTACCACTGTTGGCGGCTAACATGTCAATCATCCGACCAGGTGTGCAGACAATAATTTCAGCACCTCTTTTCAGCTCAGCAATCTAATGAAACAGGGTGAGATTTCATAGTATAGTCATCACTAGCTCCTGAACAGATGTGAAAACAGCATCTGGCCCACTCGTGGCTCTAGCAGGTAAGACAGTCTGAATAGAAGACTGGAGGCTGGCATGTGACCCTTGGGCTGCTAAGCACTGAAGGGCAGGGAGCAGCAGGATGACAACCAGGGTCAGAAAGTTAATGAAACCAAACAATTTCACAAATTTTAGTTTGCAACTATTGCTCAAAAACCAAGAAAGGAAGGTCAGAATAAGCAATAAAATACATATTCTAACACAAACATCAATGCTTTCCAAATTTAGGAAACCATGACATCAGTGTTCTAAGCTACAGCCAGCAGCTTTACAAACAGAACACACAATGAAAGCACACTGGACATGGTAACCTTTGCCTGAGCTCTAAACAAACATGTGTGTGCATCAGGTTATACTGTACGCATGCACTAGGTCATTCTCTTCCCTTTCACCCTCTGTTTTATGTATCTGGGTGTTTTACCTGCACACACGTCTATGCACCACATACACACAATGCCTGCAGAGGCCAGAGAGGGCACTGGCTCTTCCTGGAACTGGAGTTATAGATGGTTGTGAGTCACTCTGGAGTCACTGGGATCAAATCCAAGTCCTCTAGAAGAGCAGACAGTGCTCTAAACCACTGAGCCATCTCTCCAACCCTAAAGCAACTGCACCTCTGGAATGCTGGCCTGAAAGTCATCTCCTATAGTTAAAGGTACCAGCAAGAGTTTGTTCTTCTGTGGCAAATATTCCACATGACATACTGTTTCTCATGTGTTTTAAGTATTGAAGAAAGTATAGTATAGGGCTAGCACGATGCGCTGTGGTAAAGGTGCTTGCTGCGAGTCTGACAAGATAAGTCAATGCCTAGATCCCACATGGTAAAAGGAGAAAACTGACTTCTACACATTGTCTTCTGACTATATCACATGTGCTATGGTATGTGCACATGGACTAACATACACAAGCAAGCTCAAACACAGACACACACACACACACACACAATGTGATTTAAAAAAAATAAACTGAAAAAAAAAAGGTATACTAGTTGCTTTCCTGTAGAAGCAAGGCTGTACTGACAGAGAGCACACAGTCACCCACAGACTCCTCTGTTAACGCTTTGACTGTGGTGGTATTGTGTTCCCTGTGTCTTCTATGAGAGAGCTGAGATGCGTGTCTGATCTCAAAGCTCAGGTGAGCCTGGCAGCATCATCCACCTGCCCGTCTGGTGGGAACTTGAAGTGCATGTGGCAGAAGCCACCTCACTCTCACTGCAAAGGCTCTAAGATGTTCCTGTTATCAATGCTTTCAAAACTGTTTCCTGCCAGATGTGCTGGCACAGGCATACAAGAGCAGCACTTGGAAGACAGGAAGAGAAAGGTCAGGAAATCAAGGTCATCCTGGGCAACCTGAGATCCTGTCACAAACAAATACACACAATTTGTTTTATAGCTAGGCAGTGGTGGCACACACCTTTAGTCCCAGCACTTGGGAGGCAGAGACAGGCAGATCTCTGTGAGTTCGATGCCAGCCTGGTCTACAGAGTGAGTTCCAAGACAGCCAGAGCTACACAGAGAAACCCTGTCTCAAAAAACATCAAAAGAAAAAAAAATTTTTTTTTAAAAATTTATTTATTTATTATGTATACAGCATGTATGACTACAGGCCAGAAGAAGGCACCAGATCTCGTTACAGATGGTTGTGAGCCACCATGTGGTTGCTGGGAATTGAACTCAGGATCTCTGGAAGAGCAGTCAGTGCTCTTAACCTCTGAGCCATCTCTCCAGCCCGAAAAAAAATTTTTTTATAAATGTATTTCTTATTATAGGCTGTATAGTCAAATAAAATGGCAAAAATGAGCAGTTCAAGTATTTAAAAGAGCAAAAAAGTGAAACATTCCCAAGGCATGTTTTTACAACACTATTTCTGAAATAAGTTTTCTTGCTAAGCTTGGTGATGCACACCTTTAACCCCAGCACTCAGGAGGCAGTCAGAGAGATCTCTGAATTCAAGACCAGCCTGGGCTATAGATCGACTTCTAGGACAGCCAGGGCTACATAACAGAGACACCCTCTCTTGAGAAAACGCTAAATCAAAGGCAGTAAAAGTTTGCTTAAATCTTGCTACATATCATTATGAATGAAGATGAAAGTCTTGCACTAACACATAACATTAGTTAGCACCTTCTAAAGAATCTAGCATGGGTCAGAGGCAGTAATTGCTGGTCTGGGAATCACAGGACCATGTCCCGAGTCAAACTCCAGCTCTAATTAATCTAATTGGTCAATTTATTTAATCATTCTGCATAACTCTTCACTTATAAAATGAAAAAGCAGACCTGCCATCTCAGGCAGGAGGGCATGCCAATGCTAAGAACCACTTCAAGCCTGGTGGTGGTGGTGGTGCACACCTTTAACCCAGCACTTCAGAGGCAGAGGCAGATAGATCTATGTGAGTTCAAAGCTAGCCTGGTCTACAGAGCTAACAGCCAAGGCTACACAAAGAAACCCTGTCTTAACTCCCCACCCCACCCCGCGCCACACACACACACACACACACACACACACACACACACACACACACACAAAGACTTCAAAATTCTGTATCAGACATGTTTTTTTTGTTTTCTGATATTCACTCAGGTTTTCTGAGAAATAATTAACAATGAAGTGTATGTATTAGGAGCCAGAGGACTGTAGCTCAGTGGTAACAGAACTCCCCATGTAGCATTCATGGAGCCCTTGGTTCAATAATCCTCAGCACATACCAAAAAGAATAGGTTTTAGAAACACAAATGATGTATTCTGATATACACAGTCGGCAAAATTATTAACACAATCAAGTTACATATTTACGTATTTTATCACAGAGTATTCCATTTTTGTCTTTTTTGGAAAGAATGTTTAAGATCTACTCTGTTAACAAGATTTAAATATATAACGACATTAACTACAGCCATGTTATGCCTAGTCTCTACAGAACATATGCTTCCTGCATGACATCAATCATTCTTAGGAGCCAGAGATATAAAGAAAGGGTCTTGCCACATATATCTGGCTGGCCTGGAACTTGCTATGTATACAAAGCCAGTTTCAAACTTGCAGTGATCCTCCTGCCTCTGCTGAGTTCTGGGATCACAGGTATCTCTCTCTCTCTCTCTCTCTCTCTCTCTCACACACACACACACACACACACACACACACACACACACACACACACCACCCTTCTTCTAAAGACAGGGTCTTTCTGTGTAGTTCTAAGGCCTCAAGCCAGCAATCTTTCTTCCTCAGTTTTTTTTTTTTGGTTTTTCGAGACAGGGTTTCCTTGTGTAGCTTTGCGCCTTTCCTGGAACTCACTTGGTAGCCCAGGCTGGCCTCGAACTCACAGAGATCCGCCTGGCTCTGCCTCCCGAGTGCTGGGATTAAAGGCGTGCGCCACCACCGCCCGGCTCTTCCTCAGTTTTCTTAATGCTAGGAATACAGGCACACCACAAGCACCTCATTCAATCTTATAATTATTTCACACCAAATACCCTTGAAGATTTTAAAGGCAATCACCTACATCCAAACACTAAAATGAAAGAATTACTTAACTCACTGGAACATTCAATCTGAAAAACACAGAAGGGCTGAGTACTTTATTCTAACTACCTGCTCGCTGATTCCTGTCCCTCCATACACACAGACCACTCTGAGTCCCAAGGTCTTGGAAAACTTCTTACATTCCTTAGTGATTTGTAAAGCCAGTTCTCGAGTTGGAGTCATGATGACAGCTGAAAAGATAAATATGTCAAAGCCTAACCCGAAAACCCTTTAGAAGACACTTTAAAACGCTAAAGTTGACCTCTGCAGGATGGCTTGTCTCAGTCAAATTTGTTTGTCTTTATGGAAGTCTGAAAATTGTATTTCAAAAACTTAGTAATGGCAGAAACCAAGGTAAAGGGCAAATAGACTCTTAAGAATGTGCTACAAGAAAATCAGAGTTCAACACCATACTTAAACCTCAGAAAAACCCTGGAACAGAACAGTTTCCAACAGCAAATCCCAGGACAAAGGGAATCAAGTGACCCCTGTGCTGCAGAGGCCACACAGCTGCTTCCCAGGAGCACTTCACTCTGAGAGCCACAGACAGTACACCATGCCTGTATCTGCACAAAAAGAACTGAAGAGTTTCCCCAATCAAATATTCAAACACTAACTGCGAAAATGAGAAGTCTGAATTTGAAGACTTACTCTATATGAAACACTGGCACTATCACCTTAAAAGACACCTAGAAATTACATTTCTCTTTCTCCTATACTGAGTTTATAATGCACTGATACTGGGCTGAGAACACACCTCAACATAAATAAAGAGAGATGCATGAGGGGTCTACCTGCCAGGTCAGAGCTTTAAAACTGAGCTGTGCCAGCCTTATTTTTGTACTTCTTAGATGTCACTCCAGAGCTCTGAAGATTCTCATTCCACCTGCTGATAAGGGGAAATCAGCCCCAAACTGCCATATTGATAAAGGAAATGCAGATAAAGACATCTTTATCATCATAATTAATAACTTAAAGAATCAGGTCTTTCTCATGTTACAACAAGCACATCTAAGAATCACATGGTGAGAAGACGTGTACCTATTGGCCCCTCTCCTTCTTCTAATGATCTCTGATCCATGATGTGTCTAAACATGGGCAAAAGAAAGGCAATGGTTTTTCCACTTCCTGTCTTGGCAATGCCAATCAAATCTCGTCCAGACATTATAGCAGGAATTGCTTGAGTCTGGATTGGTGTGGGCTTCTCATAGCCATGCCTTAAAAAGAAACAAAAAGAACACAATATAAGAATCATGAGCATTAAGTCCCCTGAGCATTAACATCACCTCTTCTAAATGTGATATATCCACCTGATAAAATATTATTGGGTGGAGAGCAGAAAAAGCCAAGGGCTAGCAGATGGCTTAATGAGTACTTGCATACAGGCCAGATAACCTGAGTAGACACCTGGAACCCACAGGTGGTAAGATGAATTAGACTCCCCAGAGTTAGCCTCTAACCTCCACCCACGCACATGCCATGGTGCATGTGCTCAAGCAAGCATGCATGCAGGCACAAAATAAAATACATGGAATAAACAAATGAAAATAATATTTAAAAGCCCAGCATGATGGTGCACACCTTTAATCGCAGCACTGAGGAGGCAGAGGCAGAGCATCTGTGAGTTCAAGGCCAGCCTGGTCTACAGAGTGAGTTCCAGGACAGCCTGGTTTACACAGTGAGTTCAAGAGCAGCCAGGGCTCCATAGACTATCTTGGGGGGGAAAAAAGCATAAATAAACATTTTTAAAATAAATAAATGGTTTTTTAAAAAATTGACAATGAAAAGAATGAAGCACTAAGAAATTCCACAACGTGGAACTCTGAAAACAGTGATTTTACCAAGAGATAAAAAGTAGTCAGAGCCGGGCGGTGGTGGCGCACGCCTTTAATCCCAGCACTCGGGAGGCAGAGCCAGGCGGATCTCTGTGAGTTCGAGGCCAGCCTGGACTACCAAGTGAGTTCCAGGAAAGGCGCAAAGCTACACAGAGAAACCCTGTCTCGAAAAACCAAAAAAAAAAAAAAAAAAAAAAAAAAAGTAGTCAGAGAAGAGGACACACTATATAATTCTACCTGGATACTGTCCAGTGGGGCCGAACTACAGATGTGGAAAGTGCACTTCTGGTTGCCCAGGGTGGAGGAGATGGGAGAAGACTGATAAAGGACAGGGGAGTCTACAGAGTGGTGAAAATGTTCTACAATAGATAGCTGCACAAATCCATAAACATACCACTGGATTGTATATTCCAAATGGTCAACTCCACGTTTACATTATAGTTCATTAAAAACATTTACAAATTCCTTAAAAAAGGACTGGGACTAAGATGCAGCTCAGTGGTGGGATACTTCCCTAGCATGCTCAACTACCTAGGATGGGTCCCTTCACCTAAGAAAACAATTTTCAGTTATGCACATAATTGAAATCCAGAAATATTTGTGTGAAAGGGCTAGCAGGACACTGAAAAATGTACATAACCATCAACTACTTACTTTTTGAGGGAATTTAATATCTTCATGGAAATTCCACACTGGACCCATGATTTAATTGGTTTGGGACAACCTTTTCCTTTAACTGTAATGCCCTCCATCTCCAATCGAAACACATTCACCTCTGGAAAACAAAGCCCCGTTAGAAGCTCTTCTACTGGTACCATCTACCTCCGTTCACTCGGCAGTCAAAGGTCAAACATCCTCACCTCTCTTTAAGAGCTATCTAATAAAACCCCATCGCTGAACTACAAGAGAAACACTAGACTTCAGAGAGACAGAGGAATTACTGCTGCAGTAAATCACGAATAATGGGAAATACTCCAAGTACAACACTTTGGCTTTCACATTTTCTTCAACTGCAACAAAATAAGGAATGCCTGGCAACACAACCACCTGCTGCCTGAGTCGCACAGATGCCTTTACTTAACCAACAGTGACTGATGGCTGTTAGTCACCAACTGTCTCACACACCAACAAGGCCAACAGAAACATTTCTTTTGAATCTGACATGAACAGTACTTTCAGCTGTAAGAACATCAACTACGTGAATAAATCCATTTTGTTCTTTTAAAAAATACTTCCTGAAACATCTCCCAACTCCCAGGCCTACGTACACTGCCCCTGAGGAGTGGAGGGCACCCCCAAGTCCACCACAAAATAACCAAGCAAACAGAAGCAGCTTACCCTCCTGAGACATTTTTGCCAGTTCTGGAACTTCAACATAAAAATTTTTTCTGAATGGTTCATATTCAATTTTTCCATGATCAACTGGTTCTAGAAGTTTTCTCTGTTTTGTCTGGTAGCCTGTGAGGGCCGTCTGAAGATCAACTTCCTCCTCCTCTGAAGAATACTTAAATTTCCAGGAAGAAAAGCAAAGTCATTATTCATTTCCCCTGCCAGAGGATAAGACTCCCGGCTGTCAAAGCCCCCTCCCTTAGAGCCCCCTTCTCTTAGAGCCCCCCACTCAGGAACCGCTCTGAGGCACTTCGCATGCAATCTATGACACACTGATCTACAAGGTTTCCCTGCCACTCCAGGAAAATTAAGATTGCATAACCTAAAAATCTCAGGTAAGAATGTCCATAATTTTGAACATAGATAAATCAACGCCTTAAAAATTTTTCAACTTAATTTCTCTTTTTCTTTATTCAAAGTTTTAATAGTAACACAAACCTCATATGACTCTGAGAAATATCATGAAAGTTTTCTTATTGCTTTCATTATCTAGACCTTTACACTATATAGTGGGAAGAAATATCATTCATTTTATTGCTTCCCTTTTCTTGTTGTTCTATGCCTGAGATGAGCCGATAAAGCATAACAGAAAAGTAGGACACAGCACAGCCATACTACTACTATACTACTGAGAGGAGCAAGAATTTGCCCCAATAATGGTTTGTGTGACTAACTACAAAGCACGCCAACATGAATGCTTTGCAATAAATGCTCCTAGGACACGATCATAAACCAAGTCCAAATGAGGAATCACCTCCATGGCATCCTGGTCATTCTCCATCAGCTCTCCCTTCTTCTTATCAGCATCTACTACTGCTTTTTTGGTTGTTACCACAGTGACAACTTTTGTGACTGTTGGCCCAGACTTCTAAAATAAAAAAAGAAGTATTAAAATATTTTGCAAAAGTAAAACAAAAAACAAAGTTTAAAATATGTGGACAGCAGATATAAGACAACATTAAACCCCACAAAATGTAACTGAAACTAACAAACCGGTTTAAGTTTTAGGAAGACCAAGAAAGCTTTGCTTTTGTTTTGTGTGAACTTTTCAATGTGTCTGCACAACAGTTCAGATACACTCACATACACAGAACTGACTGCATAACATGTAAGTTTATACAACAATTTGTTTTCAGTTTTTGGTTTTTTGAGACAGGGTTTCTCTGTGTAGCCCTGGTTGTCTTGGAACTCCCTTTGTAGACCAGGCTGGCCTCAAACTCACACAGATCTGCCTGTCTCTAACTTCCAAGTGCTGCGATTAAAGAAGTGTGATACCACCCCAGCAATACAGCCTACTTTTTCACTTCATGATCACTTAACATAAAAACCCCCACAAACTTGTTTTTTTTGTTGTTTGTTTTTCAAGACAGGGTTTTTCTGTGTAGTCCTGGCTGTCCTGGAACTCACTATATAGACCAGGCTGACCTTGAACTTGCAGAGATCCACCTGCCTCTGAGTATGTCTCCCAAGTGAGCGCTGGGACCCCACTAACTTCTTAGAGCTGAGGTCAACAGAGCGACAAGAGTGACAAAGGCCGGCTCTCCAGGCAGCTAGCCACACACCTTTTCATTTCCTGCGCCTTTCACGCTCCGCATGTTAAACTTCTTCACTTCTTCTTTCACTTCTTCCATGTAGGCATCTAATGGGTCCAACTCCTCACCCTCCATTTCATTCCCTTCCTTTTCGGCTTCTGCAGGGTCGTCTTCATCGTCTAAAAGAGCACAATGTATTTTCTTTGACCACAGGAAACAGAAGCCAGAGAGATGGTTCAGGGGGTAAAGGCTCTTGCTGCACAAGCCTGGCAACCAGGTCAACCCACACCCCACATGGCGGAAGGAGAAATGACTCCTGGAGCCCATTCTCGGACCTCTGCATGTGTGTATGTAAGCATGTGAATGCAGTCACACACAAGCACAAATAATTTTACAATTATTTTTTTAAAGAGAAGACATGCCATATCCATTCTATGACTTCCATCAATTTTTTTTTTCCACTGTGCCAATGTCCCGCTTCTGGATTATAATTCGCTCCTAGGTACAGCCCAAGTGCTCACATATGGAAGGTCTTACATTTCTAATAATGCATGAATTACTGTTAAGTAGCAGTGAGCCAAAAAATACTAATAAATCACTTAAAAGGGGTAAAAGAAAACCAAAAAATAAGTAAATAAATAAGCCAGGAGGTGGTACATGCTTTTAATCCCAGCACTCAGGAAGCAGAGGCAGGTAGATCTCTGTGAGTTCGAGGCCAGCCTGGTCTACAGAGCGAGATCCAGGACAGGCACCAAAAATACAGAGAAACCTTCTCGAAACACCCCCCCCCCCCCAAAAAAAAAGACGCCGTGGTCACGGTGTCTCTTCACAGCAATAGAAATCCTAACTGAGAAAGGAACTGTCACCGAAAATGGATCAAAACTCTATTTTCTGTAAGATATCCCAATCTTCACTCACTAAAATCAGAAATGGGATGGGCTGGAGTGTAAGGCAGTGCTCTGATGGCACGTGCTCAGCCCTGGGTTCAAGGCTCAGAAGCACAACATGCAACAGGAGGAAAGTATTTCTCTCCTAAATCATACACAGTTAGAGATGTGTTTATCTCTTTAAAGACGAACGTGTATGTGCACGTGTGTGCCTTGGTGCTGTGAAGATCAGAAGAGGGGGCTGAATCCCTGGAGCTGGAATTCTGGATGATGGGGAACCACCAGGGGGCGCTGACTCTCATGAACAGTTACAGGGGCAGCAAATGCACTAGCTCCATCTGCTAACTCCATAAGTGCACAACTGTGTGCTCTCAAGTCAGATCAGTGATTCGTAGGAGATAGCATCCATTGAAGGAGGCCTTGGACAATCTCCATATGGCCAGGCACAGTGGCTTACGCCTACAGTCCCAACTACTCAGAGAGTTAAGGGAAGAGTCACTTGAGTGCAGAAACTCCTGGCAAGCTTAGACAGCACAGTGAGACCCTATATCTAAAACTACAAGAATCTTAGCATGAATCCAGCAAATCTACTTCTAAGTACATAGATTTACCAAAAAAAAAAAACAACAAACAAACAAACAGAAAAAGAAGAAGTTGTAAACAAACTCAAATATTTCTGTGCATACTAATGCTCACGGGAGCATTAGTCACAATAAAAAACAGATGGCAGAAACAACTCAAATAGCTAATAGCAAGTGAGTAGATGATAAAACATGGCATAAACTGGGCACAGTAGCACAAGCCATAATCCCGATGTTTGGGAGACTGAAGTAGGAAAATCACAAACTCAAGGCCTGCCTAGGTTAGAAAAAAGAACCCTGTCTTAAACAGGAAAACAAAGCATTTCCAGGCATAATGGCCCACTCCTTTAATTCCAGCACTTGGGAGGCAGAGTTCAGTCATGTACATATACTGGGTTATTACTCAGCCATGTAAAAGAAAGTAGAGCATGCTACAATATGAATGAACCTTCAAGACAGCATGCTAAACTAAACAGCCAGACACAAGAAGACACCAACAGTATGGCTGCAATGTGAGGAACATGGGCAGATTCTCCGGGACAGAAAGCAGAGTAAGGTACAAGGGCTGGTGGAGGCGGACGGTGAGCTCGTCAATGGGTGAAGTTTCCACCTGGGATGAAGAAAGCTCTGGAAAGGACAGTGGTGAGGGCTATCAGCACTGAACGTGCGGTGAAGAACTGCACTTCACATTCTACCCTGAACTGATTCAAGTGCAACCAGGGAAGTAGCTCGGTGCTGGAGCGCCTGATAAACACGCCCGAAGACTGACCCTCAGTTCGACCGGGTACGGGCGAAAATGCTAAAATGTAAATACAACATTCTGCTTATTCGCCACAATGTTTGAAAAAAGCGTCCCCTGCACCCCAAATATACCATCGTCATCTTCTAAACTCCACTTTTTCCCTTGTTTCATTTCTTCAATTTCCTTTTTCAGTTCCCCTATGTTTTCCATGGCCTTTTTACGCTGTTCTTCTCGCCATTTTTCAACTCTTTCTTTTCGTTTTCTCATTTCTTCCTCCAGTTTATTCTGGTCAAAGTTCTTTGGGGAGGGAAAGACAAAAAGAAAAAGGAGGGAAAATCAAAATCAGAATTAGCAAGTATACTCCACATGCGCTTCTAAGTAAGTTCTCCAAAATATTCAAAAAGAAAAATGGATGTGTGCACACATTCCAAAATGCAAATCAGGTTTAGTCGTCACCCATCTTTATATCATGCTCCTGTTCTATTAGGGCAAGGTCCACAGGATGGCTCAGGGGACAAAGGCACTTGCTGCCAAAAGCAATCATCAGTTCAATCCCCGTAACTCACATGGGGAAGTGGAGAACTAATAACTCTTGAAGTTAGCGAGACTTGTGTCGTGGCATGCCATGTGTGTAAGTCCCACAAAACGTAATATAACTTAAAACATTTATATTTGGGAATCACAAAGCCAGACTTGGTCATTAGCACCCGTAGCCCCAGGAGGCTAGGGCTAGCTCCAGGCCAGCCTGAGCTATATACAGCAAGACTCTGAGAAAGAAACACAGTGAGGAAAGGAGGGATGGAAACAGAGGAAGGAAGAGTCAGAACACAAAGCACTTTTAGTGAAGAAACCTGGAAGATGGGGCTGGGGAGTTGGCTCAGTGGTTAAGAGCACTGGCTGCTCTTCCAGAGGACTCATTTGATTCCCATCACCAACATGGTAACTCATAACCATGTTAACTCCAGTCCCTGAAGATCTGGCACTCTATTCTGGCCTCTGCAGGCACCAGGCACACTAGAGGAACACAGACATACACATAAAATAATCCAAAATTTAAAAAAAAAAAACAAAAAAAAACGTATGTTGTGGGATAATCTTTTTGTATTCTGTAAAGATGTGTGTTGCCGGGCGGTGGTGGCGCAAGCCTTTAATCTCAGCACTCGGGAGGCAGAGCAAGGTGGATGGATCTCTGTGAGTTCGAGGCCAGCTTGGTCTACAGAGCGAGATTCAGGACAGGCACCAAAACTACACGGAGAAACCCTCTCTCAAAAAAAAAAAACAAAAACAAAAAAAAAGATGTATCTCTGCCTAAGAGGCCTTCTGATTGGTTTAATAAAAAACTGAAAAACCAATAGGTAGGCAGGAAAGAATAGGTGGGACTTCCGGGAGAGAGAGAGAGGACTCTGGGAGGAAGGGAAGCAGGACACCAGTGAAGACACTGAAGAAGTCAGACATACTATACAGAGGAGAGGGAACCAAGCCAAGTGACAGAACACAAATTTGAGTTATAAGAGCTAGCTGGGAAAAAGCCTAAGCTAAGGCCAAGCTTTCATAATTAATAAGTCTCAATGTTGTTGTGAGCTGGTGGCCCAAAGAAAGTCCGACTACACGCATACCATTATCAATTATGTCCTATAGATTGATGAAAATAAATTTTGACATCCCCACGTTGGCAAAGAAGGAAGCAAGAAAAGTGTACCATTGTATGCCTTAACCCTTTTCATTTATTTACACATTCATGTCTGTAATAGGCCACAGCATGAGTGTACAATCAAAAGAAAACATGCTATCTGTCCTCTTCTTCCCACCTTCTCGCGGGTTCTTTGTTCAGACTCGGGCCCCAGGTTTCTCTGATAACTGCTTTTCCAGCTAAATCATTTAGGTCCTAGATGCCTAAATTCTTTTTTTTGGTTTTTTGGTTTTTTGTTTTTCAAGACAGGGTTTCTCTGCATACTTTTGGTGCCTGTCCTGGATCTCACTCTGTAGATTAGGCTGGCCTCGATCGTGCAGGGATTAAAGGCGGGCGCCACTGCTGCCGGTGATGCCTAAATTCTTCAGTCTAAATTTGTATATACTTTTTAGGTCAATCCGGTACTATTTACATGGATTGGTCATACTTTCTAATTAAAAACAGATAACATAAATACACAATGTTTTTCAGAAGGATTCAAGACTTTTATCTTCCTGTTTATTTTATATTAGTTATAAATTACTTAAAAGTAAAAATAAAGATAAATAGTATCATTAAGAAATAATTATTGCCAGGGGGTGGTGGTGCACGCCAAGGACTCAGGGGGCAGAGGCAAGCGAATCTCTGTGAGTTCAAGGCCAGCCTGGTCTACAGGCTGTCCAGGACAGCCAGGGCTGCACGGTCTCAAAAAACCAAAAGAGAAAAAACAGAAAAGAAAGAATTCTGTTGTGAAAACAAGCCTGCCGTTACAGAACTGTCTGGCACCGAACCTACCCCAGCATCCTTCTCCTTCTCATCCTCCTTGTCATCTTTGTCTTTCTTCTTCTCTTTGGAACTGTCCCCACCTTCTGCCTTCTCTTTGGACCTAGACCTGCCAGAGAACAAAAGAGAGTAAGACACTATCATTGGAAATCCAAGAATCATTTCTTCCTCACTTTATGACATTTACTTAGTAGCGTCTGTGGAGGTCAGGGAACAACTTGCAGGAGTCAGGTCTCTCCTACACTGGAACCAGGGATCAGTCAGCTCGAGCCTCAGCAGGAAGCACCTTTACCACTGAGCCATCTCAAGGTCCTACGATACTCATTTTAGATTACTTAACAGACTGGATCTCATTTTCTTATTTCTTCAATAATCAGCACATGTCATATTCCAATAATAAATACCTGGACTGTGAGAAAAGTAAATCTTTTAGCACTAATAGAAAACATTATTAAACATTTGGAAATTTGTCTAAGAAACAATTACAAAATCTAGACAGGATTGTAAAATTTTAATAATTCATGTCTGTATAATACTAAAATTACAATGGGCTTACAATTTGACTTACGCCTCTAATGATATAAAATCAGTCAACGTCAGACTAGAGAGCTGGCTCAGCTGTTGGCGCACTGCTGCTCTTGAAGAGACCCAAGTTTGGTTCCCGCGCCCACATGGAGCGTACAACCACTGCTAACACCAGCTGCAGGGGACCTCTTCTGGCCTCTCAAGGTCCCCTATGTATATGGAATCCAGACACGCATATATGCAGGCAAAACACTCAATACCTAAAATAAAAGTATCCACTCTCTCCTCTTCCGTTCATGATTGGTGTTTCTGAGTGATTTCTAGACATCCTTTCAGATTTGACCTAGATACTCAGAGATGAAAAAGATGGTCTCCAAACACAAACTCTGTAAGAATTACCAGCTAACTTTTTTCTGCCATGTCATTTGCTCTTTATTCTGCCCAGGACTGCTTTCTATGAACACAGTGAAGGTGGTCCTATCATAGAGTAACAAATGTCCCTCGGACCTTTATCTTAAGAACTTCTCCACACACTGCAGTGTCACCTGTCCCTTACCAAATGGTTCTCTGTACACAGCTGCTCACGGGCTCTCTATGTTCTTTCACGGGTCTATTTACCCATCTCTAAGCAGACACCTAACACTATCCGAGGTTTTGTAAGCAACTTTCTGAGACTGCGACTTTATGATATGTCTTTATGGGCATGGCACAAGGAGTCATCCAATCTTGTTTTTCAGATTACGTCCTTTGTATTTCTAATGTGTGTTCATGAGTGTAGGGTGTGTGTACCCATGTGTTCATGTGTGTGCAAGCATATGTGTAGTAGAGTCCCAAGGACAATGGGGGGAGCATTCCTTGGGAGCCATTGACCTTATTTGATGAGACAAGACTAGGCTGGCTGGCCAGCAAGACCCACTGCTAAGCCTGTCTCTTCCATAGCTCAGGGATTACAAGTGCACACCTTGGCCTACCTTTATTAACCTGGGTGCTTGGGGCTGAGCTAACCTGGGCCATCACTACTCAGCCCTATCGCTAATCTTACGATCAGTTTGTAAAATATCCTTCTATTCATGTCTGCTAAGAAGTTCAAAAGCATCGATACATTAAATTTGATAAAATGGGTTGGGGAGACAGCTCAGTAGGTAAACTGATTGCTGCACAGGCCTGAGAACCTGAGTATGGAGCCACAGCCCCCAGGTGAAAGCTAGGCATGACATTAGTTTCCGGGATTTTACTGGAAACTTCCAGGCCACACTCAGGAAGACACTCTCTTAAAAAATAAGATGGGCCGGGCGGTGGTGGCGCACGCCTTTAATCCCAGCACTCGGGAGGCAGAGCCAGGAGGATCTCTATGAGTTCGAGGCCAGCCTGGACTACCAAGTGAGTTCCAGGAAAGGCGCAAAGCTACACAGAGAAACCCTGTCTCAAAAAATCCAAAAAAAAAAAAAAAAAGATGGAAGACTGGAGAGATGGCTGTGATTAAGAGCACTGGCTCCTCTTCCAGAAGTCCTGAGTTCAATTCCCAGAAACCACATGGTGGCTCACAATCACCTGTAATGAGATCTGGTGCCCTCTTCTGGTGTGCAGGCATACATGCAGGCAGAACACTGTATACATAATAAATAAATTTTAAAAAGTAAATAAATAAGATGGGGAACATTAAGGAAGGTATCAAAGTACTGGTCTTTACATGTGTACACATAGGCAAGTAGACACACATGCACATATACAACACACAAACACACACACACACAAACAAACACACACACCCCACATTTAAAAAAAAGAAAAGGCTGGGCAGTGGTGGCTCTCTCCTTTAATCCCAGCACTTAAGAGACAGAGGCAGGCAGATCTCTCTGAGTTTGAGGCCAGTCTGGTCTACATAGCAAGTTCCAGGATAGCCAGGGTTACACAGAGAAGCCCTATCTCAGAAAAAAAAAAAAAAAATAGAAAGGAAGGAAGGAAGGAAAGAAAGAAAGAGAAAGAAAGAAAAAAAGAAAGAAAGAAGGAAGGAAGGAAGGAAGGAAGGAAGGAAGGAAAGAAAGAAAGAAAGAAAGAAAGAAAGAAAGAAAGAAAGAAAGAAAGAAAGACAGACTTTATTCTGGATTAAATAATGACTTTTCTCCTTAAATCAGAGTATCACACTGACTTTCTAATGTTAAACTAATTTTCCTTTCTTGAAATAAACTCAATTTGTTCATTATGCTACTTAGATATATATACAATTGTATTTAGTATGTTAATCTTTGTTTACGTGAAATATAATGTTCTTTTCCTATGCTACCTTTGTCAGATTTTCGTTTGGATTTTGGTTTTTCAAGACAAGGTTTCCTCTGTGTAGTTTTAGTAGTTTTTTGGTGCCTGTCCTGGATCTCACTCTTTAATGCCACGTTTAATCCCAGCACTCGGGAGGCAGAGGCAGGCAGATCTCCCTGAGTTTGAGGCCAGCCTGGTCTACAGAGCAAGTTCTAGGACAGGCTCCAAAGAAACCCTGTCTCAAAAAACCATAAAAAAAAATTTTTTTAATTAAAAAAAAAAAGATGTGTGCGCCATTACACCCTGAATCAGGCTTATAATTCCAAAAATCACTGTCTATCACAAGCACAAATTGAAAACCCATAATCAGAAATCCAAAATCTGAAACTTGTGTACATAACCTCTCAAGTAGGAAGTTTTATATCTAACTACACACACCAGGTTGTAGCCGTGCATACACACTAAAAATACAGCATAAAACTACCTTCAGAGGGATGGGGTGTAGCTAAGTAGGAGGGCATCTGCTTAGCTTGTGCATGGCACTGGATCAAGCTCCAGCAACAGCACAAAATCAAACAACAGCCGGGCGGTGGTGGCGCACGCCTTTAATCCCAGCACTCGGGAGGCAGAGCCAGGCGGATCTCTGTGAGTTCGAGGCCAGCCTGGACTACCAAGTGAGTTCCAGAAAAGGCGCAAAACTACACAGAGAAACCCTGTCTCGAAAAACCAAAAAAAAAAAAAAAAAAAAAAAAAAAAAAAAAAAATCAAACAACAAACCCTACTTCCAGGCTGTGCAAGATGCTCGTAAAACATAAATCAATTCTTTGGCTAGACGTGGACATCATTCCTAAGACAGCTTTCATTATACATAAGTAAATAACAAAATATGGAAGTCCCAAACTGAAAACACTTCTGGTCCCAAGCCTTTTGGACAAAAAAATATCAACCAGTACCATTATGGAGTAAAAAAATAAAAAGAATCCCTATAAATGAAATTTTAGAAGAGAAATCATCCAAAAAGAAAATGAGGGAAAAAAAAAAAAAAGATGGAGAGAAGGTTGAGGTATCATCAAGAGCACCTGTTGCTCTTACAGAGCTCCTGGGTTTGGTTCCCAGTATCCAAACAATGTATAACTCCAGTTCCAGAGGATCTGATGCTCTCTTCTGACCTCAGCACAAGGCACACAAGTGGGGCATATACACACATGCAGGCAAACACTTGTATATATAAAAATTAAATAGTAATAAAAAATTTGTGTAAGATATGAACATGAGGGCTGGAGAGATGGCTCAGAGGTTAAGAGTACTGGCTGCTCTTCCAGAGGTCATGAGTTCAATTCCCAGCAACCACATGGTGACTCACAACTACCTGTAATGAGATCTGGTGTCCTCTTATGATATGCAGGGACATATGCAGACAGGATACTGTATAATCACATAAATAAATGTTTAAAAAAAAAGATATAAACATGAACTTCAGAAAAGAAACCAAATGGCCAATAAAGATGCAAAAAATATCCAATCTCAATAGCAATCAGAAAGTTGTACATTAAAGCCACAATAAGGCATCTCTCTCTTGAGAAGCCCACAATCAACTTTTTTTTGTGGGGTGGGTGGTTTGTTTTTTGGCTTTTTGAGACAGGTTTCTCTGTATAGCCCTGGCTGTCTTGGAACTCACTCTGTAGATCAGGCTGGCCTTGAACTCACAGATCCACCTGCCGCTGCCTCCTGAGCATGGGGATTAAAAGCATGTGCTACCTAACCCACAATCAACACTTGAGTATTTAGTTTCTCTCTGTAATGAACTTCTTTCCAATTCTTTTTTTTTCTTTCTTTTTCCCGAGACAAGGTTTCTCTGTGTAGCTTTGCACCTTTCCTGGAACTCATTCTGTAGCCCAGGAAGGCCTCAAATTCACAGAGATCCGCCTGCCTCTGACTTCCGAGTGCTGGAATTAAAGGCGTGTACCACCACCACCCCCGGCTTCTTTCCAATTCTTAAAAGCAAAAAAAAAAAAAAAAAAAAAAAAAGTAACAAAAAAACCAGATTATTATTAAATATCTACCTGATCAACTTACAGAAACATAAAAGACTGGCAATTTTAGACAATGGAAAAAGTGTGAAGCAAGAGATTTCTCACTCTGGTGGTGGGGTAGAAATACAAACTCTCCGTAAAGCAACTTGCCATCACCTAGTTAAAAGCAGAGCTGTGTCGATGGCCAAGCAGTTTCACTTCCAGATCTATTTCCTACGAAAGCTCAGATGCAGGTATGCTAGGGCAGTAGTACACAGGGATGGATACTCACCAGCATTCAGGAGGCTGCAGGAGGAGGTCAGGAATTCAGGGCCAGTCTGAGGTACACATACCAAGACCCTGTCTAAAAAGCCATAGGCCATAGCTTTAGCTCAGGCCCAAAACACCTGCCTATAAAGCACAAGGTTTGGGGTTTGATGCCAACATCCTAGGAAAAAGGAAATGAGAAAAAAGAGCTCAAGGCCCTCAAAGCCTAGCCACACATCTACTTCAGTAGAACGGGAAGTTCTGATATAGTGATCCCACAGAACACTATTCGGGAACAAAACAACTACTGACAGATGCTGTGGAACAATCTTTTTGTACACTATGAATATGTATTACTCTCACTGGCTAATGAAAAGGTGATTGGCCAACAGCTGGGCAGGAAGAGATTGAGTGTGAGAGCCAGACTAGGAGAATTCTGGGAAGAGGAAGGGCAGAGTCAGAGAGTCTCAGGCAAACACAGAGAAGCAAGATGAGAATGTCGTTCTGAGAAAAGGTACCAAGACCATGTGGCTAAACATAGACAAGAATTATGGCTTAATTTAAGTGTAAGAGTTAGCTAGTAACAAGCCTAAGCTATCGGCCAAGCATTTATAAGTAATATTAAGCCTCTGAGTGGTTATTTGGAAACTGGCGGATGGGAGAGAAACATTTGACTACAAACAGAAGCAACACAGACACATCTCAAACAGTGCTGAACAAAGAACATAGAACTCCATTCACATGAAGTTAAAAACCAAGTAAGCTAAGATGTACATATAGGTGGTAAAACAATAAAGAAAAGTCAGTAGTGGCTTCACCCAGCGAGACAAAACGCTAAGAAAGTGAAATAATACTTTCAACCAGGCCAACCAGGACTGTATAGCAAGATCCTACCTCAATAAATAAGTAAGTTAGGCCAGGCAGTGGTGGTGCATGCCTTTAATCCCAGCACTCAGGAAGCAAAGCCAGGCAGATCTCTGTGAGTTCGAGGCCAGCCTGGTCTACAGAGTGAGATGCAGGACAGGTACCAAAAGTACACAGAGAAACCCTGTCTCAAAAAACAAAAACAACAACAAAAAAAAAAAGTTAGGACGAGAGAATGGAATATTACTTTGAAATCATTATAAGATAGATATCCACACTCCCATAACCAAGGTCAAGAGATAAACAGGAGCTGGAGAGACGGCTCAGCGGCTGAAAGCACCAGCTGCTCTTCCAGGACTCTGGTTTGAATCCCAATACCCATATGTCGGTTCACAATCATCCGAGGTTCCCTTTCTAAGGGATCCTGCACCCTCTTCTGATATCCATGGGCACCAGATATGCACACACTGTACAGACATACATGCAGGCAAAACATCCACAGAGACAAAATTCAGTGTTCTATAAGTCCTCCATTTCACTTTCTTTCCTTTTCCTTTTTTTGTTTTGTTTTGTTTTTTGTTGAGATAGGGCTCTCTCTACAGAGTCCTGATTGTCCTGGAACTTTATGTAGACCAGACTGATCTCAAACAGAGAGAACCCCCTGCCTCTGTCTCCCAAGTACTAGGACTAAGGTTTATTTTTTATTTCATGAAATCCCAACAGTATTACACTGGCCTTGGTAAAATAAAAGTACAACTTAAAAAGTCAAACAAACAATATGGGAGAGGCAACAACAACGGAAGGAAACAGGAAGGGGAAACAAGTAAAAGTCAACACATCCACGTTCTGGGCTGCTGGAAAGAAGCAGTGACAGTGACAGGAGACTGGGAAGAGCAAGCATATGGTCTGACAGGAGGCATTTCACCTGAGTGTTACCAGCACCACAAGAAATATACACATTTAACTTACACAAGCAAAGGCCACACTTTCCAAACAGCAATGAGTTGACACAGTGGTTAAGTCCACTCACTGCTCTTGCAAAGGAGTTCCATTCCCAGCACCCCTAGCAGGTGGCTTCCTGCCTCCTTTGGCACCTACACTTATGAACACATACCTACACAGGTACACATACATTATTAAGAAATATCTTAACCATCTGAGAAAACAATCTCAAAGGAACAGAAACTGACATAACTGAATACCGAGGGCTTGCCTAGCATGGCAAACAGCATGCCCACTTCAATATTCATCACTGCCCTCCACAAAAGACACTGAATTCCCACCAAAGATGGTTACAAAAGTTCTGACCATTAATAATATATACAAAATAAGAGTACAGTGTAGAGTTTAAAAACCAGTACAATTTGCTATTCTCCAACTGAATTATAAGCCCTATAATCCAATAAATAAACGTTCTGGCAACAGTTCACAGCGAGAGTCAAACTCTAATTCCTGATGAGTATGAACTGGACAGCAGATGTGGTCAATGACAGGGTTACCTGTTCTCAGCCTTCTTGCTTTTGCTGCCAGGACTGGAGGACCGGGATCGCCGACCCCGGCTTCTACTCCTTGAGCGCCTCCTGTCTCGGCTCCGAGATCTTCTTCTCTCTCGGCTTCTGTCTCGTTCTCTACTTCTGGAACGCCTAAAAGGGAGAGTTCATTTATTTTGTGGCCAAAGGGAGTTATTATTCCAGATTATGACTGTCCCGCAATAAAAAGTTTCTTAAAATTAGGATCATTATTAGAGGTAGCTGTAGTGGGTAGCCATTCCAGCTTTGATCTGGAAGTTCCAACCCCCACTGAGGCTTCATTAACTGTCACACCTACAAGGTGGGGCCGAGAGGATTCTGAGGACCCTGAAGACCCGAGATCAGGATGCGCTGGCTCTCTTGGTTCCTGGACCCTGGACGCTGGAGCTAGACTGAGCAGAGTTCTCCAGAGAACACCGCCGGACTTCACTACACCTTTCCCAGACCCTGTTACCTATCCCTTCACTTGTAAGTTACGCCACAAAATAAACCTCCTTTTTAACTACTTGGAGTGGCCTTAATAATTTCACCAGTAGATAGCATTTTTAATTAGCTACCAATTCAGCTAAACTGGACACAAGTAAAGCCAGTTCTTACGAAGATGAATGGAAGCGTTGACTATACATGTTCCATAACAATGTCTGCTAACAAACATAACAAGCTGTAACAATAAATACTTTAAATCTACCACCTATAGCACCAAAGCCAATTCTCACAGACAGCCCACGCCTGGGGCTGCAGAGCAGCACTGGAGCACTCCCTGAGATGTGCAAGACCCTAATCCCAGACGTGGGGGAACCCAAGTAAGGAGATTCAAAGAACCTGAGCTACAAGACCATAATCTGAAGATTAGGAGGCAATATTTTTCCCTGTGAGCCACTAGTTACATGACAAAGGGCATACACCCCCATCCCACTTCCGTCCTCTAGAAAACATGGAAAACACTATATACTCTCAATTTTTTTTTTTTTTTTTTTTTTTGAGTCTCACTGGGCTTGGAACACAAGAGATCCACCTGCCTCTGACTCCCTAGTGCTCAGATTAAAGGTGCATACAACTATGCCCAGCCCTCAAAACCCTTGATCTAAAAATCTTACAATTTTATTTTCATATAAAAACTTAAAATCGCCGGGTGGTGATGGGACACACCTTTTATTCCAGCACTCAGGGGCAGAGGCAGGCGGATCTCTGTGAGTTCGAGGCCAGCCTGGTCTACAGAGCGAGTTCTAGGACAGGTTCCAAAGCTACACAGAGAAACCCTGTCTCAAAAAACAAAACAAAACAAAACTCAAAGATCAAAATGTTAAACAATCAATTCACTTAACACATACTTGACTGAACTGTGGGAAACTGTCCGTGGACACTGAATACGAAACTGAACTAGTCAAAATGCTCCATCTGTCTAGAATACCAGGTATTAATACCAAAGTATTCTCACCTTCCAACCTATCTTGTCACATCAACATGCAGGTCATGGTGGCATGCACCCTTTACCCCCAGCACTGGGGAGGGCAGAGGCAGACAGATCTCTGTGAGTTCTAGGCCAGCCTGGTCTACAGAGCTAGTTATAGTCTAACTATGTCTTGCTTTCCTGGTTCAGTAAGGAAAAAAATGAGTGGGTAAGGAAAACTGTTTTTAAAGGCATTTCACTCAATAAATACGTAAGTAAATGTAAAATAAAAGGTCACGAATGTTTTTTTCAGTTTAAATCTAAGAACAGCCATTAAAGTAGCTTAAAACAAACGGCAAAGAGGGCTCTTCCTGTTTTTTTCCACTGGTCTCTCAACACAATGGTCAGCCTCTCCAGCAGAATCAAATAAAAACCTCCATAAACAAAACATTAACTCATTTCTGTCTTTCTCGGGGACTTCAAGGGTTCTCTCTGGATTTCAGAAAATACAATCTAAATTTCTAAGCTTAAAAATATTGCTTAAGACAAAGCCTCTGTCTAATCAAACAATGGGGAAGTAGGAAGCCCATAAATGGGCCACTAAATTCCAAACCAGAACACCTTTGGAGAGGCCCAATTTATCTAGTAAGGCCCCAAGATGACTGGTTCTTCAGAGATGAATGTCTTACCTCAGGCGCTTCCTGTCCCTTGACCGTGATCTTCTTTTGTCCCTACTCCGAGACCTCTCTCTCCTTCTATCTCTCTCTCTACTCCTAGAACGTCTGTCATCTCCACGTTTACTTCTTTTGTCAGAGGGTGAGCGACTCCTAGACCGACTTCCAGAACGTCCTCGCGATGCCGATCGTTTGCGGTAGTGGCTAGAATAGTACCAAATCAAAGATAAAGCTTAGCAAGCAGCTTGTATTTTATTTCTATGTGTGTGTGTGGGGGGGGGGGGACGACTCAGCAATTTAAACGCATATTTAATTAGAAGGAGAAAATGAACTATCGCTACAGTACATGTACAGGGGAAGACTGGAAAGGATGCCACATATGGTGATTCATGCACAGTACTTGGGAGGCTGAGGCATGAGGATCCCCATGGGTTTGAGGTCAGGGTTTGGGGGCCTGGGCTACAAAGTAAAACCCTGTCAAAAGGGCTGGCGTTGCTGGGTGGTGATGGTGCATGCCTTTAATCCCAGCACTCGGGAGGCAGAGCCAGGCGGATCTCTGTGAGTTTGAGGGCAGCCTGGGCTACAGAGTGAGTTCCAGGACAGGCACAAAGCTACACAGAGAAACCCTGTCTTGAAAAACCAAAAAAAAAGGACTGGCGTGATGGCTCAGCAGTCAAAAGCAGAGGCTATGCTCCCAGAGGACAGCTTATATCTGGTAAAGGAAGAGCTCGTAGGCAAATGAAGAAATGCACAGTGGGTCAAGTACTGGGCAGGAGACAACCAGCTCAGAAAAAAAGAGCAAATGGGAAGTTTGACATTTTATATCAGACAACTAGCAAAGCCCATTAATAAAGTGACATTTTTAGAGACCCATGAAGAAAATAAAAGCAAGAACCATGTGGACATACAGGGGAGACCTTCCAGGCAAACAGCACAAGAGTAAACTCATGGGAAGGGATCTGAACTGGCACATGGAGGGATAGCAGCAAGGAATACAGTTAAACAAGTTAAAGAGAGCACACCAGGTGTAGTAGCACACAACTTAATCCCAGCATTCAGGAGGCAGAAGCTAGCAGAGTTAGTTACAGGCCAGCCAGGACTACACAGTGAGACTTTGTCCCAAAGAGAAGAGGAAAGAAAAGAAAAGCCTCAAGAGAGTGCCATGGGACAAGATCAGAGACATAACAAAGCAGTCAAACATGGAGAGCTTCAGGGCTCTTACACTGACTACATCTTTTACTCTGAGGAAGATGAAAAGCTACTAGGCCACACATGGTGGCAGACCCCTGCAGTGCCGGCTACTAAGGCTAAGGACACATCACTCACTTCCAGCAGACTCCCACCTCTAACTGCAAACTTTTAATTACTTTATTTATGCATATATGCATATGCCTGAGTATATGTATGTGCATCTCATGTGTGCAGGTACCTATGCAACCAGAAAAGGGTATCAGATCCCCTAGAACTGGAGTTACAGACAGCTGTGAGCCACGTGGATGCTAGAAATTGAATCCAGGTCCTCTGAAAGAACAGCAGGTGCTTTCAACCACTGAGCCATCTCTCCAGCTCCATGAATACATTTTCTTACAAGAAAATAGACAATAAAAACAGAAAAGGCTGGGGCTGGAGAGATGGCTCAGTGGTTAAGAGCACTGCCTGCTCTTCCAGACCCGGGTTCAATTTCCAACACCCACATGGCAGCTCACATCTCCAATTCCAGGGGATCTAGTACTCACACAGACACACATGCAGGCAAAACACCAATACACATAAAAATTAATAATAATAATAATAATAATAATAATAATAATAATAATAATAATAAAAAGAAACAGAAAAGGCTACTGAAAGGTTCTTAAACACAACCTCATGACTGTTTTAAAGTATCACTCAGGGCCAGGCATGTAACGCCAGCACTCAAGAGGTGAAGGCAGGCAGACCAGCAGTTCAAAGCCAGCCTTGACTAAGAGATCTCGTGTGTGTGTGTGTGTGTGTGTGTGTGTGTGTGTGTGTGTTAAAAAATGAAAGCATTATTTTGTTGCTAAGCAAAGAACAAATTAAACAAAGGAGAGAACAGTAGGAGGAAAATATGAAACTAAAGCAACCGGGGCTGGAGAGATGGCTCAGCAGTTAAGAGCACTGGCCACTCTTACAAAGGACCCGGGATTCAATTCCCAGTTCCCACATGGTAAGCTTACAACTGTCTCCAGTCCCAGGGGATCTGACATATTCATACAGACATACATGCAGGCAGAACACCAATGCACGTAAGTAACTAAGAAATGTTAAAAAAAAAAAAAAAAAAAGTTTAAGCCAGGTGGTGGTAATGCACACCTTTAAACCCAGTGCTGCTTGGAAGGCAGAGGCAGGCAGATGTCGGTAAATTTGAGACCAGCTTTGTCTATAGATCGAGCTCCAGGACAGCCAAGATTACACGGAGAAACTGTGTCTAGGAAAAAAAAAATTAAGAAACTAAAGCAACCATCCAGGTTAAGAGACAGTGACAGGTTAGGTCAGAAGAGAAAGTATAAGTGTTGAGAAATATCAAGATCTGCAAGGAAAACAAAAAACAAGACACTAGCCTAGCACTGACTCGATTTAATGATGAATTAAATGTCAAGTTGAGGGCACAAGAGAAGCACTGGATGTCTTCACATCTGACTAGAATAAGCAGAAAACTGAGTCTGTGCTGGGGGCGCAGGCTGAGTGGTCCACGCTTAGTATGTGTGAGGCCCTGAGATCAATTCACAGCAGCCTTCCTCACCACCACCACAGAGTTGCTGTTTATAGGAATCAACAATCCATTCACTTTCTGTACCTCCTTCTTCCTCTCTTCAATCCTTCATGAATGCTCCATAAGGACAAAAACTGAGCTTTAGCTGAGCGGCGGTGGCACACACCTTTAATCCCAGCACTGGGGGGGGGGGGGGGGGGGGGCAGAGCAAGACGGATCTCTGTGAGTTCGAGGCCAGCCTGGGCTACAGAGTTACAGGAAAGGCGCAAAGCTACACAGAGAAACCCCGTCTCGAAAAAACAAACAAAAGAAAAGAAAAAAAAAAAACTGAGCTTTGAGGCTGTTTCTCAAATATCCTGCTCTTTCTCACCTCTGAGTCTTTCACTGTTCCCTGAACAAACCAAGAACATCAGCCAAGCACAGCATAAAGAGAACAGTGTGACGGTAAAATGGGTGAAGTGGACCTTCCTGAGAAAGGTCTAAAGAGTTTGAATTTCATCTTTAAAGTAATAGGATCCAATGGAAACTAAGGCAAAAAATGGCAGGTTCTTATCGTTATTTTTGAAGTGTCACCCTTCAAACTATTGGTTCCAGCAATACAAATATAATAATTGTAACGGCAAGATCAAGAAAGGCAATTCAGGGAGGAAACAATTTGAAACAGTCTGGGCAATGAACATTAAGGGCCTTAATTAAGTCAGAGACCAGGAACGGGGAAATAGTGCAGAATCTAACTAGAAGTGAGCAGTTAGGCCAGGCGGGCTTTAATCCCAGCACTCGGGAGGCAGAGGCAGGCGGATCTCTGTGAGTTTGAGGCCAGCCTGGTCTACAGAGCGAGATCCAGGAAAGGCTCAAAGCTACACAGAGAAACCCTGTCAAAAAAAAAAAATGAAGTGAGCAGTTGGGAGAGGAGGAGTCAAATATTGCTTCCAGATCTCTGGTCTAAGGAGCCAGATGAAGAACAATGCCTTTGGGAAACTTAAAAGATAGTCAGTCACAAGAACTGACTGTAGTCAAGGGGGTATAGCCTTTCCTTTTATCCGGATGAAACTACAGGCTTTTCTATCTACAAACTTTCAAGATGTTCCACTCACACTTTGCTCATGTTCCTGAAGCTAAGTTATAACCCAGTAAAGTGAGTGCTATTAGCATTAAAAGCAATGCAAACTCCCATTCTCCCTAGACACAGAACCATAGTATCTTTCACACCGGCTACATAGTTGCAAGATAATAATAACTCAAGGTCTTCAACTTGTTATCAACATCCTAAAGTTTTGAAGACACCGTATAATTATATAGTTATAATAAGGCGCGCATGTGAACGGTTTCAAAAAGACAAGCAGCAGGTAACAAAGTAATACGGAATCTATCTGCAAAGTCCATGAAACAAGTGTTTACTACAACCCAGTAAGTCAGCCGCACACATACTGCAGGTGCCGTAAAGACGTCTGCCCACACGCTTTTAAATGACTTAGGAAGACCACGCGCGCACAAAAGTAAACTAGAGTGGGCGTAAGCAACGTCGCAAAGGCGAAGCGATAGGGAGTGAGCCGGGGTCAGGGCTGACGGAGGTGACGAAGCTGCAGGCTCGGGGTGGGGGGTGGGGGGAGAGGACGGGCTGAGCTGCGGAAGGCTACCCCAGTTCGGGGCTCGACCCGGCTGTTGCAAGTACAGGGGAATCTCTGCGGCCCTGCGCGCCGCAGCGCAAGCTCGCAGCCGCGGCGACCGGCTCCTCAGCGACCACACGTGGGGCCACCCCACACCCGCCGCGCCGCCACCGCCAGCCGCTCCCCTCGGAGCCCAAGAAGCCGGTCGCCCGCGGACTCACCGAGACTCCCGGCCCATGCTGCCGGCCGCCAGAAGTTCTGCGCCCTGAGGAACGATGCGCAGGCTTGTCAAGAGGACAAAGGAGGGGGGCACCAAGCCCTCACGCTGCCGAGTGAGGACCGGCCCTACGAAGTGGCCAGAGGTCCGGCAGTGACCACCATCAGAGCGCGGCCAACGAAAACAGGATGTGCTGGCGCCGGGCGCGGAAGGAAGGAGCAGGCGGAAGGAAGTGGCTGATTCCCCACAGCGCCTCCCAGCGGCTGGAGGCCGAGCAACGCGGGTTTCACCTGGAGTGGCCCTGGCCGGTTTTCCCGCGGAATCCACAGGGTTGGTTGGTGCACTGGAGTGGGACCTCAGCCAGGTCAACCCTGCCAGAAACCACTGAGTAACCCTCTGCCAGATCTTTAGCCTTGAGAGCCCTCTACACTGATGTGACAGGTGGTTACACGGGTTGCTTGGAAATAGTGTGAATAGGAAAACGGACCATATGCATCATCTCGCAGTTTGAACAACTTGGGAGGCTGAGGCAAAAGGATCACTTGAGCCCAGAGGTTAGAGGGCAGCCTGGAAAACAGAATTTAAATGTGTCTCAAAAAAAGAGGAGGGCAGAGGGCTGGAGAGATGGCTCAGAGGTTAAGAGCACTGGCTGTTCTTCCAGAGGTCCTGAGTTCAATTCCCGGCAACCACATGGTGGCTCACAACCATCTGTAATGAGATCCGGCACCCTCTTCTGTATACATAATAAATAAATAAATAAATCTTAAAAAAAATAAAAGAGGAGGGCAGAAAGTGGAACCTATGACTAGTGTCTTAAACACTAGAGGCAGAAAAGTGATCAGAATCAGGATAGTTATGCAAAACATGAACTGATCAACTGCATATAAGCTGCGGGAGAGGACAGAAGACCACTCCTAATTTGGAAGAGTGCTTGTGGATTCTGGTAAGAGGTGAGGAGGTTATTTTAACTTCAGCACAGTGGCAATTGCGACTCCGTAGTTACCGGTCTGTCAGGAATTCCGTTCCCACAGGGACTGGCCCTGTGGATGCTGCTAAAGGTAGCCTTAACTAAATCTCTATCATTCTATTTATAAATAGGACTTGAGATCCAAAGGCTGGGGTAAAAACCTGCCAACTCAGAGAGGCTGAGCAGCGACTAACTAGCTAACCCTCTCTCCTTGCTGCTCCAAAAGACCGTGCTTCTGCTCTGCCAAACCAGAGAAAGCTTTGCCACTACAAATTTCTCCCTATTATTTCCTGTGTTTCTCTATCTCTCCCAGATGCCCTCTGATGCTCTGATTACTGTCTGTCAACTAGTTGCTAACTCAGCCTCCTAACCCAATGTTGTGGGATGTCCTGTATGCTGTAAATGTATGTTGCTATGATTGATTGATAAATAAAATGCTGATTGGCCAGTAGCCAGGCAAGAAGGATAGTGTAGGTGGGACAAGGAGGAGGAGAATGCTGGGAGATGGAAGGCTGAGACAGGGAGATGCTGCCAGCCGCCATGAGGAGAAGCATGATGTAAGATACCGGTAAGCCACGTGGCAAGGTATAGATTTATAGAAATGGGTTAATTTAAGATATAAGAACAGATAGCAAGCAGCCTGCCATGGCCATACAGTTTGTAAGTAGTATAAGTCTCTGTGTGTTTACTTGGGGGACGGGAGTGGGAGAGATTTGTCCTGACCATGGGCCAGGCAGAACCAGGTAAACTTCAGCTACAACCCAAGGTTTAATTTTATTTCATCAACGCAAATACACACTCGGGGTTCACAGTGTGATCAAATTTCTCCCAACAAGGAGGATATGGGAGCAGTAGATCTGGGAGGCAGAGTTTTTGATGAAAGGAAACTGAGGGTCAGGAAAGCCATTTAGTCCCAGCTTGCTGTGGTGATTTGATGAAAGGTCCCTCCAGTCTCAGGCAGTGAATACTTGATCCCCAGGTGGTATTTGGGCAGCTTAGGAATTGTAGACTTGCTAGAGAAAGTATGTCATGGGACCAAAGATTTACATCATTCCTGTACTGGCTGGTTTTATATCAATGTGACATAAACTAGAGTCATGAGAGACGAAGGAGCCTCAACTGAAAAATCGCTCCATAAGATCCAGCTTTAAGGCATTTTCTTAGTGATCAATGGGTATAATGAGTCTTTCTCTGTCCCGCCAGCCAGCTGCCAAATAATGATACAGAGACTTATTGTGAAAGCTCAGCCTATAGCTTAGGCTTGTTCCTAACTAGCTCTTATAACTTACATTAGCCCATGTTTTTATTAATCTGTGTTCTACCATGTGGCTTTTACCTCTGTCCCATTCTGTGTGTCTGACTCATTTTATGTTCAGGTGGCTTCTCTGATTCTCTTCTTCCCAGAGTCCTCTCTGTGCCTGGAAGTCCTGCTATTGGCCATTTGGCTCTTTATTAAACAATCAGAAGGCGCCTTGGCAAAGACACATTTTCACAGTGTACAAAAAGATTATTCCACAACAAATGGGGGAGGGCTCAGCCCATTGTGGATGGTGTCATCCCTGGGCTGGTGGTCCTGGGTTCTGTAAGACAGCAGGCTGAGCAAGCCATGTGAAGCAAGTCAGTAAGCAGCATCCTCCATGGCCTCTGCATCAGCTCCTGCCTCTAGATTCCTGCCCTGCTTGAGTTCCTGTCCTGATTTTCTTTGGTGATGAACATTAATGTGGAAGTATAAGCTGAATAACCCATTTTCCCCCCAACTTGCTTTTTGGTCATGGTGTTTCCTTGCAGCAATAGAAACACTTAAGACAATTCCCAATTTGCTCTGCTTTGTGTTTATAGTTCAAGATGTGTGCCCTGGGGCTAGAGAGATAGTTCAGTGGTTAAGAGCACTTGTTGCTCTTGGAGAAGACTTACTTCAATTCCCAACATCCACATGATGGTTTACAAACATCCATAACTACCATCCCAGGGAATCCAACACCACCTTCTGATTTCAAAGGGCACCAGGCAGCATGTGGTGTACATGCATAAATGGAGGCAAAACACTCATATACATAAAATAAAATTTTTTTAAAAAAATTTGTTTGTTTTTTTGTTTTTCGAGACAGGGTTTCTCTGTGTAGCTTTAGAGCCTATCCTGGATCTCGCTCTGTAGACCAGGCTGGCCTCAAACTCACAGAGTTCCACCTGGCTCTGCCTCCCGAGTGCTGGGATTAAAGGCCTGCGCCACCACCACCACCTGGCTATAAAAAATAATTTTAAAAAATGATGTGAGCCATCAGCTTCGGCTCCAGCCACCATGTCTGCCACCTGGACTCTAACTCTCTGGAAGCATAAACCCAAATAAACTCTTTCTTTATAAATTGCCTTGGTCATGGTGTTTTATTACATCAATAGAAAAGCAACTAATATGATCACTACTGTAGTTAAGAGTATTTATGCTATTGCACTGCTTGCCTAAATTACTCAGATCCCACTTTTTTTTTTTTTTTTGTTGGAACTGAGGACCGAACCCAGGGCCTTGCACTTGCTAGGCAAGCGCTCTACCACTGAGCTAAATCCCCTCAGATCCCACTTTTAATATTTCTGTTCTAGCTTGCTTTTAAAAGGTACTTCTGAGGAGCTGAAGAGGTTAGGGGTTAAGAGCACTTGCTGCTCTTGCAAAGAACCTGGGTTCAATCCCCATCACTCACATGGTGGTTCACAACGATCCATAACTCTAGTTCCAGGGGATCCAATGCCCTCTTACCTCTACAGGCACCCAGTACATATATGGTGCACATACATACATGCACAAAACACGCAAAATAAATTTAATCAATCTAATAAACACAACCTTTAAAACCCTTCGGAATGCAGCTCAGTGTCGGAGCACAGGCCCGAGTCTGACAGCAGCACAGCGAGGCCGGGCCAACAACGACAAAAACATACAATTACAACGTTTATGACGAGGGCTGGAGGGATAGCTCAACAGCTCAGGGCAACTGCTGTCTTCTCTTGCAGACAGTTCCCAGCACTCTCGGGGCAGCTCACAGCTGCCTGGGTCTCCAGGGGATCAGATTCCCTTTTCTGGTCTCTGCGGGCACCAGATATGCACATGGCACACAGACAGATACGCAGGTAGGACGTGCATACACGTACAATAAAAATAAATCAATCGAAACAAAAAAGAGATGAGTAGAAGATGCATAGACTATAAACTTTTTAAAAAACCATTCATTTGTGTAACTCCCCGTCCCCATCAGAGATCCGCTGCTAGGCAAGCATTCTGTCATTGACCTACACTACTGTGCCCCACATGTATGAACTTGAACTGTTTCTTGACTTACTATTTGTACGTTAACTGAAGAACGGATAAGGATGGCTACCACTTTCGGGCCTTGGGTTAAAACTTTTAAAAATAAGACAGGCAATGGTGGCACACGCCTTTGATCCCAGCACTCGGGAGGCAGAGGCAGACAGATCTCTGTGAGTTCAAGGCCAGCTTGGTTTACAGAATAAGGTTCAGGACAGGCACCAAAGCTACGCAGAGAAACCTTGTATCGAAAAAAAAACAAAAACAAAATATGCAGTCTTAACATTAGACAATTCAATTCCATTCACTTTATTTTTAGGATGTTTTCATTTCTCAGGATAGAATGACACAAATACAAGTCACAGTCCTTTAGGCAGGCTGAGATCACTTTATCTACTCCCCTCAAAGTACTAGCCCAGTCCCACAAGAGGGATTATAAATGTCAGAAGTTAGGGGAAAGGTATAAGACTGGATTTCTAATTAAACAAGAAAAGTCATTAATGATATTGTTACTCTATTTGGTTACTCATACCAGTACTGATACAAAGTCAACCCTTTTAAATCAGGGAAACTAATAAGTTGGTTTTCTGTAAAGTAAAAGAATTTCATAAAGATATAAATCAATTTGTCCCCTTTAGAGACACTGTAATGTAGAAGAGAAATCGTTTTCACTTTGTAAACTTCTTCTGAGTTCTTCGGATTTCAGGGTACTTCAGAACCCCAATAATCAAGCAGTTCATGACAAAAAATGAAAGTGAAAAAGTAGACACAGAGATCTGTGAAGACTTCGCCCATTTTGCTATAGGTATCCATGGACCGATTTATCACTTCAGCAGGAATTCCGGACAGCAGCAGCGCGGCTGTGAGCACTGTGGTCTTTATCTTCTTCTCACCCTGTACCAAGAAGAGACAAGTTAACCATATGCCCTCAGCAGACCACATGTGCTC